ACACTTCCAGATGTGAGAGGTTGGCACAGTGGCTAAGAAAGTGAAACTGGGTCAGGCATCCAATATTTATATCCCTTCTTACTCTGACCTAGCAAGCAGCTGAACCCCGTGTCTCAGTGTAAAATGGGGCTAATGGTAAAATGCAGCAGTAAAATACTAGTATTGGGCACTTAGCACTCAAAAGTGAGCAATAATTATGTGCCAGGCCTATGTTAGGCATTTATTCATTCAACAGATATTTAGTAAGTGTTTACAATGTGGCAAACAGTATCGTAGGCTCTGGAATAAAGCAATGAATCAAAGCTCCCCAATCTCACAGCATAGTGTGGTAGGAGAGGTGGACAGTTAACAAGTAAATAAATCATTTCATTTCTGTTGTGCTACAAGGTAAGGCAAGTTAAGGGGGAAAAGTGGTTATGAGACCATTTGAATGGAGAAGTCAGGAGGAGGTGACGTTTAAACGGGCCTGAATAAGCAGCCAGTCGTGTGGAGATCTGGAAAAAGAGCCGAACAGAAGGGTGAACGTCTGCGTTGGGAACTGCTCGGCTGGAGGTATCAGTTTGGGAGCTGTTAGGGTATGATGGTATGTAAAGCCCCGAGACTGGATCCTGTCACCGAAGGAAGCCCAATGAGAAGAGGACACAGCCTTGGGGCCCATCATCTTTTACAATTTGGGAAGAAGAGATAAGACAAAACGAATTTGACATAGTCCCTACTCCTAAGCTCACAATCTCATGGGACAATAGTGTTAGAGGAGAGGTAGTGGTTAACCAGTGGGGGGCGGGGGGACAGGGTGGGGAGAAGAGTATTCCAGACAGATAGTGCTGAGTGAAAAAGAGCATAGAACATTTGGGAAGCACAGCAGTCCATGTTTCTAAGGTATGTGAATCTGTGTGATGAGAGGTAAGACCGGTGGGGTTGGGCCAGATCAGAGGGGGCTTCCCATACCCTAGAAAGGAATTGAGCTTGAAGTGTTGTAAATAGTGGAGTGACACGGTCAGATTTGAGTTTTAGGCAGCTACTGAGAACAACGTATTGAGGGAACAAGACTGGATCTAGGGGACCAGAGAAAGGGTGAGAGCTGAACCAGGGCCCTGGTTGTAGGGGTAGGGGAGAATGGAGTGGCTTAGAGCAGCAATTCATGGACTGCTTATGAGGAATGTGAGATGCTCAGAGGTGTTCCATAGCAACGCTGAAATAAGTCTGGGAAAGAATGCATGCACCTTCTTTGCTCTGAAAAGTCTTGTGGTAAAGACTTAAGAAATTAACAGACTTTATTTTTTTAGAGCAGTTTTAGGTTAACAAAATTGAGCAGAAAGTACAGAGACTTCCCATATACCTCCCCCAACCTCCTCCTTTTGACCTACCAGAGGGGTACATTTGTTACAACTGATGAACCTACATTAACATATCATTATTACCACAAATCCATAACTTACATGAGGGTTCACTCTTGGTGTTAGACATTGTAAGGGATTTGGCAAATGTATAATGGCATGAATTCAACATTGTAGTATACAGAATAGTTTTACCATCCTAAAAATCCTATGGGGTTTGCCTATTCATCCCTTCCTCCCTTCTAACTCCTGGCAACCACAGATTTTTTTTCTTACTGTCTCCATAGTTGTGCCTTTTTCAGAACGTCCTGTAGTTAGAATCATACTGTATACGTACAGCATTTCAGAATGGCTTAGTCCCCTTAATAATATACACTTACGTTTCCTCCATGTCTTTTCATGGCTTGATAGCGCTTTTTTTTTTACAACTGAATAATATTCCATTGTCCGGATGTACTACAGTTTATTCACTTACTGAAGGACATCTTTGTTTCTTCCAAGTTCTGACAATTATAAATAAAGTTTCTATAAACATTTGCGTGCAGGTGTTTGTGTGGGCATAAGTTTCCAATTCATTTAGGTAAGTACCATGGAGCATGATTACTGGATTGTATGATAAGAGTACGTTTAGTTTTGTAAGAAATTGCCAAACTGTTTGCCAAAGTGCCTGCACCATTTTGCATTCTCACCAGCAATGAATGAATTTCTGTTGCTACACATCCTTGCTAGCATTTGGTGTTGTCAGTGTTTTGGAGTTTGGCCATCCTAATAGGTGTGTAGTGGTACCTCGTTTTAATTTACAGCTCCCTAATACATAATGTTGAACATCTTTTCATATGTTTACTTGTCATCTGTGTATCTTTCTTGGTAAGGTGTCTGCTCAGGTCTCAACTCTCCAGTTGTCCTAATGACCTTTATTGAATAATCCCACAGTACCTCACTAATTTGAAATGTCACTTATATAATATATTAAATTTAAATTACCAAGTCAGTGTCTGGGCTTCCAATTTCATTTCACTAATTTATGATTATATTTTGGCACTAGTTGTTTTTTTTCAATCCTCACCCAAGGATATTTTTTTCCAGTTTTTGTTCAGATAGAGTGGAAGGGAGAGAGAGGAAGAGAGAGAGAGACATCGACGTGAAAGGGACACATCGAGTGGCTGCCACCTGCACGACCAACCAGGGCTGGGGACAAACTGCAACTGAGGCACACACCCCTAGCGGGAACCGAACCAAGGTCTCTCTGGACCGCAGGCCGATGCTCTAACCATTGAGCCAAACCGGCCAGGGCACTAGTTTTATTTTTATTATTGTGCCTCTATAATACAAGATAATATCTTTTTGGTAGGGCAATTCTGACTTCATTATTCTTGGACATTTTTATTGGCCATTCTGGGACACTTAACATTTCCAGGTGAACTTTAGAATCATTTAACTTAGTAAAAAGAAGAGATTTTGACTGGGGAGTATTAAAGTGGAGGAAAAGTAACATATTTACAATGTTCTATTTTCCTTTTCTTAATCTTCATCTGAGGATAGTAAAAAAAAAAATTTCCCCCCTTTATTGTTTTTTTTAGAGAGAGAGGAAGTGAGAAGGAGAGAGAGATAGAAACATTGATGAGAGAGAACATCTATTGGCTGCCTCCTGAGTGTCCGCCACTGGGGATCAGGCCCACAACCTGGGCATGTGTCCTGACCGGGAATCAAACTGGCGACCTCTTGGTGTATGTGTCAACGCTCAACCACTGAGCCATACCGGCCAGACACCTGAGGATATGTTTTTACATTGAATTTTAGAGAGAGTAGAAGTGAGGGGTGGGGGGAAACATCAATGTGAGAGAGACATATTGATTGGTCGCCTCCAGCACGCACCCCAACCTGGGCTGGGGATTGAACCTGCAACCCAGGTATGTGCCCTTGACCGGGAATACAACCTGAGTTCCTTTGGTGTATGGGCCTGTGCTCTAACCATAGAACCACACTGGCCAGGGCACTATCTATTTAAATCAATAATATTTGTAATGTCCCACATAATTCTTAATTATTCTTGGCCTTATTTTTCCAATATTTTATGAAAATATCCAAACATACAGAAAAATTGAAAGAACTTTATAGCATGCATTCATGTACCACTACCTATGAACTCTACCATGAACTTTTACCATATTTTATGCTATAGTTTTGAGTAGCAGATCGGCGCATAGGCTGCCTGGATTCACCAATTGCAAGTTGTGTAATACAGGGCAAGTTACTTAACTTCTCCAAACCCATATCCTATCTGCAAAGTGGGAATAATAATAGTACTTACCTCAAGTGTTGGTTATGAGAACTAAGTCAGTTAAAATATGTAATGCACTTAAAGCCTCATATTTCTGTACATACTATATGCCAGTGCATTAGTCTGCTTGGGTTGCTATAACAAAATATCATAGACTGGGTGGCCTAAACAACAGACATTTATTTTCTCACAATTCTGAAGACTAGAAGTCCCAGATCAAGGTCTAGCAGGATCAGTTTTTGGTGAGGGCTTTCTTCCGGCTTGTACACAGATAGTGCCTTCTTCCAAAATCCTCACCATGACCTTTCCTCAGTGCATGCACCTTCAGAGAGTGAGCCCTCTGGTGTCTCTCTTCATAAATACATTAATCCTTAGTGGGGATGGGAGGAGCAGGGAAGCACAGGGTGGGGGCCCCACCTATGTGATCTCATTTAATCTGAATGACTTCCTTTCTCCAAATACAGCTACACTGGAGTTAGGGCTTTAATATACGAATTTTGGGAAGTAAGGTGGGGAGGCACAACCATTCAATCCATAACAGCTAGCAACTACATAGTTTTATTCTATTTCCTAAATTGTTATTTTTGTAACTATTAACGTAGAAGTATGTATTTGGAATGATGTACTACTATTTTGTTGACATAGAACTCAGCAGTAAAACAGCATTACAGTATAATAATTTTTGCAAAAAATTATATTAAAATGCATGAAAAAAAAACAATTGCTGTGTGTGAGTGTGTAAGCACGTGTGTGCACCGAATGTTAGCAATGGTTCTCTCCACTTGGTGAGATTACAGATATTATTTTGCTTTTGTGTATTTTCTGGAATTTCCGAAATACAAGGAAAGGGATTAACATAAGAACTTACTAAATACTAAAACAAAAAGACTACCTGATTGTGATATTCTCTTAATAAAACACTGGATTCCATTACATTTTCAGTCTTTTACGCGTACCATTTATTAAGTGACAGTGGCATGGATTCCTGTATACCAACGTTGTCTTGACAAAAAAAAAAAAAATGATACAGATGTGGTCAGTGCGGCCCCACTGTGGTCCTGTACACTGAAAGGTCAAGGTCACTGGTTGGATTCCCAATCGGGGCCCAAACCCAGATTGCTGTTCCATCCCCAGTCGGGATGCATGTGGGAGGCAGCTGATTGATGTTTCTCCCACCCCTCTCTCTCTCTAATCAATAAAAAACATTAAAAAAAAAAAAAAAAGTGATACAGATGTTTCCCTGTTGTCAAGGGTTTCAAACCTCCCCACATGCGCATGGTTATTCTCGGCGGAGAGCTGGTTCTATTCAGCAGTCTCCGGGGTCGGACGAGGACACAGGCTCGGGAGAAGGTGGGCTGCTCCACCCTGGACTGGGACCCGGGATGCAGCAAACCGAGAGGGGCACACCGCCGGGCGAGCGTCCCGGGGGGCGCCTGCGAGCAGGAGCTGCCCCGGAGGACGCCGGGAACACGCGCAGAGGCCAAGGCCGCGCAGGCGCACCGCCCGGGCCGCGCTGCTGGGAGCATGTTCGCGTCGCGCGACACCAGACGGCCGCGGCGGCGGGCAAGGGCGCGCGCTCGAGTCCGCGAAGCGGTGAGCGGGACCCGGGTCTGGGGAGGGGAGGCCCCGGTTTCGCCCCGCCCGCGGTCACGCCGGGGACTGGCAGTCGTGCTCGGACAGAGGCTGAGAAGGCAGGGCAAGGCCGCTGCAGACCCGGAGAAAGGGTTATCCTCTCCGCGCAGAGGGGAGGAAACCGGGTTAGAGGGCTTACAGGATCCGCAGCAAGTGAAGGAGCTGGGATTCAAACCCAGATCCCTTTCGATTCCAGATCTCAGACGATTTAAAACATAATACTGCTTCAAACATGGGTTTTACTCTCTTTATGTTTCGTGACACGAGCATCGTGTTTAGGGCCATGTGGATTGTGTATATACACAGGGTCTGTGTGTATTTTTTGTAAAAATTGTTAAACGGTTCGTGCGAGTTCTAGAATTCTGACCACGTGACTGAGCCTGCTAGCTCCTTCTGCTGACTCGTGTTTTCCGTCCAGCGTCGCCGGGGAGTATAGCGGGGACTGCCTAGGATAAATAACCTGGAGCCTGCAGCCGCCTGCTGAAGAGAGACGGTGCTCAAGGTGGGCGGTGTTCCTCCAGAGCCTCCACAGCAAACGGTGCAGACTCCGGACTGGGGTACTGTGTGTTCCCTGGGTTCCTGAGAGGGAGGACACTCGTACATCTGTGAAACCTCCATGTTTCCCGTCGTGTCCTCATCGAAAGTGGACAAGCCCAGCCCTGGCCCGTTTGGCTCAGCAGTTGGAGCGTCCGCCCGCGGACTAAAGAGTCTCGAGTTGGATTCTGGCCAAGGGCAGGTTGTTCGTCCCCAGCTTTGGTCAGGGTCATGTGGGAGGCATCCAATCAATGTGTCTCTCTCACATTAATGTGTTTCTCTCTCTCTCTCTCTCTCTCTCTCTCTGCCTCCCACTCTATCTGAAGATATTTGAAAAAAATATCCTCAGGTTAGGATTAAAAAAAAAGAGAAAGAAGGCAGAAACTCATTTGCCAATGTTGGTAGTGATTAATACACTGATTTCTTACTTTGAAAATAGATTATAAAGGGAATGAGGATGCATTTGCCTTGTTTTTCAGATCATTGCCAGTTGTTGAGGGAAAGCTCTTTACAGAAAACACCTGCCAATAATAAATACAGATGAAATAATAGAATATTTTACTGTAAATGAAATAATTGAAAGGTTGATGGGGAACAGAATATTCACATGGTATCAAAGTATCACCCCCACAAATTACTTGCTAAATGTCAAGGAAGGAACACACTTTCCCAATGGTGAGATCTGGTCGTCAGATCTTTGATTAATTGATTGACTGATTTTAGAAACACCGATTTGTTGTTCCACTTATTCATGCATTCATTGGTTGCTTCTCGTATGTACTCTGACTGAAGATTGAACCCGCAACCTTGGTGTATCGGGACCATGCTCTAACTAACTGAGCTACCTGGCCAGAGCCCTTTGAGGATTTTTGAACAGAGGACTGGCCTGATAGATCTGTGCTTTAGGACCAGCGTTGACACTGGAAAGTATTAATCCCCAAAACAAATGCACTGCTGGTTCTCCTCTCTAAGGAGGCTCCAGTCTACTTGAGTCTCTCTAAATGTCCCTCTTTGTGAATGTATTGAAAGAGGGGCCCTAAACAGCAGGTCTGCAGGCAGTTTTAATTTGGGGGTTTGGGGAGATGCAAACCTCATGGCTCTTTTCCTTCCCCAGCTCTGCTATCTCAGGATGCTGAGGAGACCCAGGGAGAATGTTTAAAGGATGAAGGGACCTCTGGAGCCCGGACAGCAGAATTCCAGGTGGGTTGGAGTTTCCTGTCACTTTCTTGAAATTGTTTTTCATATTTTAAAAGTCCTAGACTTTGATTTTCTTCGACTCAACTTCCTGGCTTGGATTTTCTTAGCCTGTTCAAAACCAGGTTGCATCCACTATTTTCATAGGTAATTTTCCCACCGGTAGTAACCTTCCTCAGAGACCCTCTTGTTTCTAACAGACCTGTAGCCAATTACCCAACAGATTTAAAAATCATGCTGGTTGTCTGCCCGCTGTGGCTCAGTGGATTGAGTGTTGTCCCATGGACTGAGAGGTTCCAGTTCCATTCTCAGTCAGGACACATGCCCAGGTTGCAGGCTCGATCCCTGGGGGCTGTGTGTGGGAGGCAGCCGATCGATGGTTGTATCTCTCTCCCCCTCTCCCTTTCTCTCTCTCTAAAAAAAACCAATAAAAACATAAAAAAATTTAACTTAAAAAAAAAAAAAATCATGCTGGTGTGTGTGTGTGTGTGTGTGTGTGTGTGTCTTGGTGTCTTGGTCACATCCTGGAGCAAAATTGTAGCTGAAAAGGTCATGAAGGGCACAAACTAAATAGGCTGAGCGGAAAAGGAAGGGAAGCTTCGAAGAGCAGTTTAATAGTGTCTATGTCTCATAAATGAGCTAATCAGAAAACCAATGCACTGGCAAAGTTCTTTGCTACCAAACCCCAGAAGCGTTGAGAAATACAAGAAAATTAATAGAGTAATCAGAGAAAACCAACTTAAAAGGAGATATTATTGGAAAACAGAAGTGTTTTAAGTGGGGTGCTCTTAGCTTCCAAAATCACATGGTACAGGGTTTAATAGAATGTCTTTAACCTTCCTCAATGTCAGCCATTATAATAGTCCTGAAACACATTGTAGAATTTCAGTTACATAAAAAGCATTAAAATAGTCTCCATATTTAAGGAATGTGTTATTATCTCAGTTTTATGGCTTCTGGGTTCCCTTTGCATTTGGGAGTATGTATTTTAAAATAACTCTCACATGATTATTGAATTTTCTGTAGATCATACATAACAGGCTCTTAATAGTATAGTGTCTGCTTTCATCAAGGGATCATCTTTACTAGATGGAATTCTTGCTCCCTCCAAAAACATGCTATTCTCAAATACTTTTCTTATGAACAGATATACCCAGCTAAAGGTATTTTACCCAAGCTGAAATGTTCTCATTTTCACAATTCTTTCAGCCCAACAGGGCTCCCTGTCTTCCCTGTGGCCTTAGCTCCTTTCTCAAATATCCCTCATCTCTGTTGTCTGTAATCTAAATTGCTACACAATGTTCTGTGATCTTCTTTAATATTTCATGAGTATTTTGACTTCTGCCAAATGGTAAGCTGCAAAAGACAACTTACATGCTCTCGGCATCGTTCTGTAACCTCCAGCAGAGATCAGCCAAACAGTTGGGTGTCCAGGAAGACTTGACTAGAATCTTAGCATTAGACAAGGTCAGAACTTCCTGAACTCAGGCTGAAAAGGAACATATTTGATGTTCTAGGAAATGTTGACCTTCAAGGCCATATCTGTGGACTTCACCCAGGAGGAGTGGGGGCAGCTGGCCCCTGCTCACCAGCTTCTGTACCGGGAGGTGATGCTGGAGAACTACGGGAACCTGGTCTCGGTGGGTAAGGATGGGTTCCCCTTGTAACCTGCCTATTGGAAAATCTTTATTTGTAAGTTAAGTGCTATGCTTGGGTTTTGGGGCCTCTGTTCAAGGTTTCTAGTTCATTTCAAATACTGAGTCAGGATTGCTGTTTTGTTTATGCAATGGTCTTTCTACTATACCCTTCGGAAGGCCTGAATAACAAAGAACTCTCTTTAAATTCTTGGGATGGCTTTTTGACCTCAGTACATGCAGTTTTTTTCTTTCCCATGAGCAGGATATCAGCTTTCCAAGCCTGTTGTGATTTCCCAGTTGGAGAAAGGAGAAGAACCATGGCTGATTGAGAGAGAGATTTTAGGAGGTCCAGGTTCAGGTAAGAGCAAGGCACATGTCATGGGGCCTATGTCATGTCTGCCAGAGTTCTTCTCAGCGCTTCTCGAGCTGTGGGGAAAGGCTGAGGCCATCTGGCTAGAACCCACAAGAAGCCTGATTGCCCCTTTCCTGCACTTGCCTCTTCTCATTAGTTTCTCTGGAGTCAGAGGAAGAGATGTCTTTATTGTCGGGTTAGCCTTCTTCATTTCTCTTGACCTGACTTTCATGGTTTTCTTGCTTTCTCCAGCATTCCAAACCTTACCCCGATCATTTCTTTCTCCTGTGTAGTCAGATATCCATGGTTCTCTTCTTATTAAATATAGCACCCTTCCCCAGCTTCTTGTGTCCTTTTATCATGGTTTTCACCTTCTTTCATGATTCCATTTAAAGATTTAAAAAAATTGATCTTTAGAGAGAGAGGAAGTGGGGGGGGGGGGAGAGAGAGAGAGAGAGAGAGAGAGAACGAACATTGATTTACCAAGCTGGACTCTGTGAGTCCTATGCCTACTTTAGCCTCATCTAGCAAATGAGGAAAAGAAAGCTCATAGGTGCCCTGGCCGGTTTGGCTCAGCGGTTAGAGCATCGGCCCGCGGACCAGAGAGACCCGGGTTTGGTTCCTGCTAAGGGCGCGTACCTCGGTTGCAGTTTGTCCCTGGCCCCAGTTGTGGAAACTAGTCGACGTGTCTCGCTCACGTGGGTGCAAAAAGAAAATGTCCTCAGGTGAGGATAAAAAACAAAAGAAGGCTCTAGGTTAAGAAGTTTGTATTGGGTCCCTTAGCTACGACTTGGTAGAGTCAGTATTTGAATTCTGATCATCCTGACTCCACAGTTTGTGTTCGTGTGACGCTGTTCTACCCGGCAGCATTAGGTTGTATAGACTTCACCAGTAGTTTGGTATTCTATCTTCCACCAACTAGTTTAATAATTTTTATCTCCTCTATCTCTCTTTTTGCTTTTTCAGTGCTTCTCATCAATACCCTTTTAGATATAGATGTATCATTTCTGCCTTCATTAGGATAGACATAAACAACTATAGCAAATAGATTTTAAAATTTGGCTCAAATAGAATAGGAATTTCTTGCTTATATACTGGTCAGGGGGAACCATTTAGTTCAATGGACAGTTGTTTTCCACCTGGCAAATCTGGAACCAAGATTTCGTCCACATGGTCGCTCCACAATCCTCTAGACCCCCCTCCTCATCTAAGTTTACCCAGCAGTAGAATGAGCTCATTTGGGAGTTTTTTATGGGCCAGCCTGGAGTAGTTCACTCACTTTTACTCTCATTGACTTAATGGGGGAGACCTTTGTCACTTCACTCAATCAAATTCAAGGAAGATTGGGAAATACAGTGTAGTCGTGTGTTAAAAAATGAGCACAGATTTCCAGTGAAGAGCCAGCAGTCTCCGCTACAATCCCCGGGGAGCCTCTGTCTTCTACACTGCAATTCTATTTCTTTGTAAACTTCCACAAATGTGTTGTGATGGTTTCAACTATCCCTTTGATACTGATATTCTCCATATTTTCATCTTGGTCGTAGGCATCCATATTAACTTTATTCCCACATGTCCCTGGTATTCAGGACTTCTCTATATAGATGCACTGTTGCTACTTCAAACCCAGTACATCCAAAAACAGAGCCTTCTTCTCTCCCAAACAAGTTTCTCACCCTGAACCCCTCCTGTTCTTTCTGTCTCATGATAGCAGCAAGAATGTATCATGCCTGCCCTGGCCGGTTTGGCTCAGCAGTTAGAGCATCAGCCTGTGAACCAAAGAGTCTCGGGTTTGATTCCAGTCAAGGGCACGTACTTTGGTTGCTGTTTGTTCCCGGCCCCAACCAGATCATGCGGGAGGCAACCAGTCGATGTGTCTTTCTCATGTCAATGTTTCTCTTTATCTCCCTTTCTCTCCTCTTCCCTCCCACTCTATCTGATGATAAATAGAAAAAATATCCTCAGGTGAGAATTAAAAAAAAAAAAAAAAAAAAGCATGTATCATGCCTAATACTCTGTTTCCCCCTCTTGTTCTCACTACATTCATTTATTTTTTAAAGTGCAGTGAGTATGGGTCATTTGTATTTTTGAATTTCTTTCAGACTTGGAGAGTAAAACAGGAACCAGTGAGTTTACTTTAGAGAATGACATTTCATGGAGAGAATTTCACCACGGCCCGGTGATGGAAAGGTCCACGAGAGGGAGCACCTTGTGTTCCACATTTAGAAGAGTCTCCAAAAGGGGTCAGTTAGAAAGCCACCAGGAAAACCAAGGAATGGGTAAGGGGCAAATTCCCTTGATCCACAGGAAAATGCTCAGATTTGAGAAAAGTAATAATGTGAGCTCACAAGATATTCCAGGACCAGTAGGTCCTCCAAGAGAAAGAGAACATAAATATGACATATCTGGGAAGAGAAGTAGATACAATTTAGATTTGACAAATCATTCAAGGAGCTATACAAGAATGAAAACCTTTGAATGTAATATTTGTGAAAAAATCTTCAAACAGCTTATTCACCTTACAGAACACACGATAATTCATACTGGAGAGAAACCTTTCATATGTAAAGAATGTGGAAAATCCTTTAGCCAAAGTTCATCCCTTATTCCACATCAGAAAATCCATACTGGTGAGAAACCCTACGCATGTAAAGAATGTGGGAAAACCTTCAGACATCCATCATCTCTTACTCAACGCATTAGAATCCATACTGGGGGGAAGCCCTATGAATGTGGTATGTGTGAGAAAGCATTCAGTCAGAGCATTGGGCTGATCCAGCATCTGAGAACCCATGTTAGAGAGAAACCTTTTAAATGCAAAGACTGTGGAAAAGCATTTTTCCAGATCAGACACCTTAGGCAACATGAGATTATTCATACTGGTGTGAAACCCTATGTTTGTAATGTATGCAGTAAAACCTTCAGCCATAGCACATACCTGACTCAACACCAGAGAACTCATACTGGGGAAAGACCATATAAATGTAAGGAATGTGGGAAAGCCTTTAGCCAGAGAATACATCTATCTATTCATCAAAGAGTACCCACTGGAGTGAAACCTTATGAATGCAATCATTGTGGGAAAGCCTTTTGGCACGATTCATCCTTTGCTAAACATCAGAGAATTCATACTGGAGAAAAACCTTATGATTGTAGTGAATGTGGAAAAGCCTTCAGCTGTAGTTCATCACTTACTAGACATTGTAAAACACATTTAAGAAATGCCTTCAGCAATGACATGTGAAATATGTTTAATATCAAGGAATCCTCATATTGGAGCAAAAACCTCTAAATTAGTGGTTTTCTGACTTTCAGATTTCAAAACCATTAATTTTTTATTGGTTTGATCTAGTGTTACAACTATTAGTTTTGTCATATTAAACAAAAACAGCTATTATCAGCATTGTTTCAGAAAAGACGGACATTTTAATGTTTAAAATACAGGAAGGATATAATAATAAAGAACAGAACTTTACATTGAATTAAATCAGCTTTATGAAAACGTTCCAAATTTGTCTTATTTTTTTCTCATTTCATTATGAGTCAATGAAAACTTCATCATGGCAGGTCAGTAATCTGCTGACTGGCTTTTGAGAATCACTGTTTTAAATACTCTTTAATGAGTCAGGACAAAATGTAATATAACCTTTTACTCTAGCCCTTTATATGGCCAGAAGAGGTACAAATGAAAATATTAGTTGGCTCATTTCTAGAAGAAATGTTAAAGGAAACTTTTTAGAATTGATAAATAAATGACTGTGTGTGCGATACATATATTTTTTAATGGTTACTTACAGAGAATTTGCAAACGTTTTCTGCAATGGGCCAGATAATAAATATGTTAGGTGTTGAGGGCCATAACGCCTCTGTCAGAATTACTCAGCTCTATTTTAGGGCAAAAGCATGCGGAGCAATACATAAATCAGGGTATCTCGGCCATGGTACTGCTGATATTTTGGGCCAGATACTTTGTTATGGGCGGCTGTCCTGTGCACTGTAGCATGTTTAGCAGTATCTCTGACTACAAGATGCCAGGGCTAGGTGCCCATAGTTTCCCACCGTAGTGACGACTAAAAACATTGCTAGATGTCCCCTGGGGGTCAAGATTGACCCTACTTGAGAACTCATATAAATGAATGGGTGTAGCTGTGTTCCAATAAATTTAAAAAACAGGTGTTGCTACAGTGTATGGAAATACTAGATATTTTATATATTTATTATTATTGTTTACTATGGTTTCTCCCTAGTAGTATTTAAGCTCCATGAGGGCAGGGATCTGCTTTTTTTCACTGCTGTATCACAACAGTGCCTAGCACACAGTTGGGATTCCATAAATATTTGTTGAATTGTTTTAATTTTAACTGAATCGAACTATGTATCCATGATGACAGTAGAGAAAGGTAATCCCTGTACTTTCCTACCTAGATTTTATAGGTGAGATATTTTTTTTTTTTCTCTTTGCAAATAGATAGAATTTTTAGGCTTCTAAAAACTATGGATTATAACTGATATACTTTTAAGATAGAAGGATATTTTTAAGTTAATTTGCTAAAAATGCAGTTAAATATGTCTGGTTAATGGCAAGAACTTTGTTTTGTAAGCATGAGTTTATAAGAAAACTAGGGAAGGATAAAAGACAATATAGCCCTGCCCTGGCCAGTTTGGCTCAGCGGTTAGAGCGTTGGCCCACGGACCGGAGAGTCCCGGGTTCGGTTCTGTTAAGGGCACGTACCTTGGTTGCAGTTTGTCCCCGGCCCCCGTTGGGGTCATGTGAGTAGTGGCCACTCGATGTGTCTCTCACATCGATGTTTCTCTCTCTTTCTTTCTCCCTCCTGCTCTATCTGAAGATACATGCAAAAATGTCCTCGGGTAAGGTTGAAAAAAAAAAAAAGACAATATAGCCCTGACCATGTGGTACCATGGTTAGAGTGTTGGACCATACACCAAAGGATCACAGATTGATTCCCAGTCAAGGGCAAGTACCTGGGTCGCAGGTTCAATCCCCAGCCCCAGTCAGGGCACATACAAGATTGAACATGTATCTCTCACATTGATGTTTCTATCTCTCTCTTCTTCCCTTCCTCCCGTCCACTCTCTCTAAAAATCAATGGAAAAAATATCCTCGGGTGAGGATTAACAACAAAAACCAATACAGTAGTCGGGGAGAATACAGCATCAGATGGGAGATGTCAGCACATTTTTTGGAAGTGAGAAAACAGAAGAGTGGTTATTGATTCAGCAGAGCCTACAGAAAAGGATACGGGCAAGAGGAGGTCCCTGGGAAGGCTGAGGCCTCGGAGACTCTGGGCATCATGGAAGATGAGGGCTGCGAGTCTGGATCTGCTGGAATTCTGTACTTAGATCCCAAGGTCCCCTCACCTACCCCATATAGCAGGCTGCTACACATTCCTCTGGTGCCTTTCTCCATTCCATGACCACCTTCCGTCATCTCAAAGAGGACTGAGAGTTTATTCACTGGAGGACTAGAGCTGGTCTGGAGTCAGACGTACCAGACACAGTAGAGACTAGGGCAAGAAGCAGGGCTAACGTGGAGACTAATGTAAGGCTTCATGCTGAACTGTGGGATCCTCAGCCCCCTTTTCCCTTGAAAGCCAGGCTTCACCCCTCAACAGTCCACTCTAACCCCTCACCGCCATTGGAGAAGTCTTCTCTGGAGAAACTGGATAGCTCAAAGGAAAGGCACTGAAATTTGTGGATACTTGAGTGAAAAATCAAGGTCAATGACCCAAACTCCCTGCACATGTACACTGAACTTCCAGTCTCCAAAAGGACAAGAGAAAATGAAGGGTAGGAAATACATGCATACATTCTTCATAGCAAAAGAAACAACCATCAAAATGGAAAGGCAACCCACTGTACGGGAGAACATCATTGCTAATGATACATTAGATAAGGGATTAATTTCCAAAATACATAGAGTACTCATACAACTCAACAAAAGGAAGACAAAGAACCCAATTAAAAAATGGGCAGAGGAACTAAATAGACACCTCCCTAAACAGGACATACAAATGAGACATATGAAGAAATGCTCAACATCACTAATCATCAGAGAGATGCAAATTAAAACAATGAGGTATCACCTCACACCTGTCAGAATGGCCGCCATCAACAAATCATCAAACAAGTGTTGGCGAGGGTGTGGAGAAAAGGGGACTCTAGTACACTGCTGGTGGGAATGCAGACTGGTGCAGCCACTATGGAAAACAATATGGTGTTACCTCAAAAAATTAAAAATTGAACTTTCATTTGACCCAGTGATCCTGCTTCCAGGAATATACCCTAAGAAGCCTGCAACACCAATCAGAAAGAATATATGTACCCCCATGTTCATAGCAGCACTTTTACAAAAGCTAAGATCTGGAAACAGCCCAAGTGTCCATCAGTAGACGAATGGATAAAAAAGTTGTGGTACATATACAAAATGGAGTACTATGCAGCTGTAAGAAAGATCTCTTATCCTTTGAGACGACATGGAGGGACCTGGAAAGTATTATCCTAAGTGAAACAAGCCAAGCAGAAAAAGACAAATACCACATGATCCCACTTATATATAGAATATAATGAACATAACAGTCTGAGGAATAGGGTAGACCCAGAAACATGGAAGTAGGGTACAGACTGACAACCCTTGGAAGGGGGGGTGGGAAGAGATAAACCACAGAACTTATATGCATGTATGCATAACCAATGGACATGGACAACAAAGCCAGGGATGGGGAAGGGGGGATGGGGAGGAGGATGCCAATGGGGTAAAAAAGGAGAAACATCTGTAACAAAAATAAAATTAAAAATAAATAAATAAAAATTTAGTCAACAGTAAAAAAAGAAAAAAGAAATATACGCATACACAAAAGACAGTTTTTCAGAATTGAAGGTTGTAAATCTTAAGACTAAAAAGATCTGTGTTCTCAGCACAACAGCCAACATTTATCGTGTACTTACAATGTACCAGGCATGTTGTAAGTACTTTGTACATATGAACTCATTTAATTCTCACCAAAATCCTCTATTATCCCCAATTTACAGATGAGGAAATAGAGTCATGGAGAGTTTAAGCAAATTAGGGCACCCAGACGGTAAGTGGCAGAGCTAAGATTTGAACCTAGGCAGTCTACTTCCAAAAATAATCTATACACGGAACATTATTATAAAATATTACAGCTCCAGAGGAAAAGAGAATGTCCTAAAGGCTTCTGGAGCAAGATGCTAGATAGGTCATTCACCTATATGGGAATCAGAGAATACTTAGACTTCTCACAAAAATGATCAAGCAACGTATGACTTTCAGCTTCAAGTTCTTTGCCCAGCCGACCACCAAACAAGTGTGAAGGCAAAATAAAGACATTTTTAGATATGCCAAATGTCCTGCCTTCTCTCGCTACCCAGCTTTTAGTCATACCCTTGCAAACACCCTCTACTCCATAGATGTGTGTTGTTAACACCCTATCTTAATCAGTTATAGTTGCTATAACAAAAATATCATAGGCTGGGTGGCTTATAAACCACAGAAATTTATTGGTTTTGGAGGCTGGACGTTGCAGAGATTGCCGATTTCTGGATGGGTCCTCACGTGGCCAGGGAGCCTTTGGGGTTTCTTTTATAAGAGCACTAATCCCATTTATAGGGTTACACCCTCATGACCTAAGCCCCTCCCAAAGGCCCCACTTCCTAAATACCATCACATTGGCCATTAGGATTTCAACGTATGAATTTTGAAGGCACACAAACTTTCAGACCATAGCACATGGATATTTATATGTCCAAATCCCAAGCTTTTTCTGCACTTCAGACTCTTAATTCCAAGTGCATATTTGACTCCCGGACGTGTATCAGGCACCTCAAATTTAACAAGTTCATTTCTGAACCTGCTCTACCTCTTGTATTTCTAGTCTCAGTAAATGATTCTCAATCAGAATCATCCTTGACTCCTCTTCCTCTAACACTACCTTCAATCCATCAAAAATTCTGTGGTTCTATCTTCAAATATATATTTTCTTATCACCTCTACTACCACTACCCAGCCCAGTCCATGATTTCCTCTCACTTGGATTATTGCACATGTGCACCCCCCACAGTTCATTCTCCAGACAGCACCCAAATGATTTGTTTAATATGTAAGTAAGATCATCTTGCTTCTCAGTTCAAAGCCCTCAAGAGCTTCCCATTTCTCTCAGAATAGATCCCATGTTCTTACTAGGGTTTGCCTCAAGCAATACAACATTCCTTGGTGGTTCATGTAATGCCCACATATGCTTCCACCTCAGGGCCTTTGGCCTGCTAAGATACCCTTTTCCAGATAGCAGCATGGTTCACCTGTGGCTTCTGTCAGGTCTCGTTCAAACAGCATCTCGTCACAGGACATTCCTTGATTACCCTCTATAAAACACCTCCCCACTTCTTACAGTTAGTCTCTTTTGGGTTGATTATATTTTTATCATTCCTTTTCCCCTTTACTAGTTTGAAGTTAGATACTCTACTTCTGTTCTTTGTGGTTACCCTGAAAGTTATAACATACATTAAAAACTTAAAAAAAATTATAATAGTCATACAGAAAAGCACATACATACATATAGATAATTATCTTGATGAATCTCCAAAATTAAACACATCTATGTAACCGGCTCAGAGATTAAGAACAGAAATTATAGCATCCCGGAAGCATCCCTCTGCCCTCTTCCAGTCATTATCTTCCAAAGGGTAACTTTGAACACTGGAGGTTAATTTCCCCTGTTTTTGTACTTTATGTAAATAGAATCACATGATGTGTATTCTTTTGTGTCTGATTTTATTTGCTCAACACTTTTTTTGTGGGATTCATTAATGTTGTGTGTAGCTGTAGTCTATTTTCATTACCGTGTGCACTCCATTATGTGATACAGCAATATTTATTTATCCATTCCACTGTTGATGGACATTTAAATCGCTTCCAGTTTAGGGCTAGTATAAAGGGTGTACTATGAACATTCTAATATATGTCTTTTGGTGAACATTATATATGGATTGCTGTGTATAGACCTAGGGATGGGATTGCTGGGTCATAATGTTCAGCTTAGTAAATACTGGCAAATACTTTCCCAGAATAGTTGTACCAATTTATACTCTCACCAGAAGTGTCTGGTTATTAATTTTTTAAAAATGTTTTTATTGATTTTTATATATATTGAGAGATAGAAACATCAATGTGAGAGATACATTGATTGGTTGCCTCCTGCACACCCCCAATTGAGGATGGAGCCTGAAACCCAAGCATGCACCCTGACTGGGAATTGAACCAGCGATCTCCTGGTGCATGGGTCGATGCTCAACCACTGAGCCACACTGGCTGGGCTGAATTCTTAATTTTGTTGCTGTATTTCTCAGTCATAGAATTTCTATTTAGTTTTTTTTTTTTTATATCTGCTCTATCACTTTTTATAGTTTCTAGGTACCTGCCAAAACTGTCTGAGTTATCTTTTATTTCTTTGAACAAAGAAAATATAAATTATTTTATAGTTTGCATTTGATAATTCCAAAAGAAGTTGTTTGCATGTCTCTTTCTGTTTCTGCTGAAACACTCACCCAAAGAGTCTAGTTTCCTTGTGTACCTGTTTTATTTTTAATTCTGTACTTAACATTTCTGTGAAAACGTATGTATAAGAAGAATTAAAGGCCTACAATTATAATGCTTTCCTCCAGAGAGGGTTTGTATTTGCTTTTGCCAGGTATCTGGTGACATCACAGTTTGAGAACAACTGAAACCGAGACAGGCAATCTAACCCCAGCCTATAAATTCATCTCAAGTGATTCCATTTCCAATTAAGCCTCATCCTGAGGGTGTAGCCTTTTGGGTCCCAGTTATTGTACAGAAAGTCTTCTATTTCACTCCTTACACATTGTGTTTTATTTATTTTTTCTTCTTTGAAATGCAAAAGTAAGATCATCATTTTCCAGTTAGGTAAATATCTCAGGGCAAAAGCATCTTCCAGTGTTCCAAGTCCAGTTACCTCTTCCAAGTTGAATTGTCTCTCTGGATCCTGGCTTTCTAGCTTTTGGTCTGGTAATTCTATCTTGCCATTTCTTAGACACCTCATTTTGGGCTGAATTGTGTGTCTCCAAAATCCATACTTTGAAACCCTAAATCCCAGGACCTCAGAACGTGACTATATTTAATCACATATTTTGGTGATTAAACTTAATCACTATAAAAAGATAATTGAGTTAAAAATGAGGCATTAGGGTGTGCTCTAAACCAATCTGCCTGGTGTCTTTATAAGAAGAGGAATTTGGACAGAGGCACACCAGGAACATGAGGGCACACAGAGGAAAGACCAGGCGAGGACACAGGGAGAAGGCATCTCTCTACAGCCCAGAAGAACGGTCTCAGGAGAAATGACACCTGGATACTGGACTTTTGGCCTCCACAAGTGTGAGAAAATACATTTGTGTCATTTAAGCCACCCAGTTAGTGGTATTTTATTTACTAAACTAATACATAGCTTTAAAAACATTTACATATATATTCCAGAGTTTTACTTTTTAATATTATTGTTTTTTTTTGTGTGTGTGATGGGTTGATATAAATATACTAGCCCATGATTAGCAGAGAGAGGAACTCCAGTTATCCTCTGTTCCCCACTCTACACCTGCTTCCCTTTTCCTCATAGCCCTTATCATCACCTGGGATATTATCTGTTTTTTTCTTTTTTTATCCTCACCCGAGGACATTTTCCCATTTTTTGTTCAGAGAGAGCAGGGTGGGAGAGAGAGAGAGAAACATTGACGTGAAAGGTATACACCAAGGGGCTGCCACCTGCACGACCCCGCCAAGGCCAGGGACAAACTGCAACGGAGGTCCGTGCCCTTAGCGGAACTGAATCCGGGTCTCTCTGGACCGCAGGCCGACTCTCCAACCGCTGAACCAAACCGGCCAGGGCATCTGTTTTTCTATTTATTTACTATTTAATCTCACAGGAATTAAGATCCAAGAAAGCAGGTACATTTTGATAACTGCTGTGTCCTCAGTTCCTGTAACAATGGGTGGCTCGAATGAATGAATGAATGGATGGATGGATGGATGGATGGATGGATGGACGGACGGACGGACGAGTGAACGAATGACAGAGATGGGGCTTCCCCACCAGAACAGCTGGCAGTCCACGTAGCCTTTCAGAACCGCTGTCAGGAAAGCCGGAGGGTCCGCCCTGGGTCTGTGCAGTCCGCGGCGGGGGTCGCGTTCCCCAGCATCCGGGTTCCGGGTTTTCGCGCGCGTCCCACCTCCCCGGAGCCCGCGGGCTCCTTGGCAGCCCTCGTGGGCGGAGCCAGCAGCTGGGCGGGCGGAGTCCGCCGGAAGACTAGCGGGCGCTGGGCGGGGTGGCGGGGGGCCGGGTGGCCGCGTGGGTGGGCCGCACCCCGGGCTCCACTGGGGCCCGAGCTAGGGCGACAGTGGCGCAGGCAGCTGTGGGGGCGCGTCTGGAGGCGGGGGCTCTGGGAGACGCGGGGCTGCAGCCCAAGAGGCCCGGCGCGGGTTGCCCTGCTGCTGTCGCTGCCCCGGCGTCAGAGCCGCAGCCTGCGAGGTGTGTCCCAGGCTAGGTCTGCGGGAAGCCGGCTCAGGGAACCCCTGCCATTGCGGCCCCCAGAGCCCGGCTCCTCGGGGGGCGGCTGGGAAAGGCCACGTTGGAGGGTTAGGGTTGATCAGGAGCAGCTACACCCGCTCCAGGCCGCCTCTCCTTGGGAATTTGGACAAGACCCACTTCCAGTGCGGAGGCCGACGTAGACGTTGGGCGTTTTTTTGAAGAATGGTTGTTTTGCGGTTTGTCTGTAGAAGGCTGGGAAAAGACCAAATCCGTTACCAGTCCTCCTCGAAGGAGACACCCCCCCTCTGGAGCTGAAAGCCTCGGGAGCGAGCGCTCTCACGCCCCCAGCTCTGGTCCTACCAGCGTCCGAGGCCGATCTGGTGAGTAGGAGGCTACACTGCCTGTGTCGTCAGCCTCCAAGTCCGAGGGAGGCAGGTCTGGGAGCAGGGAGAAGGGGCATTTTAAAAAGGAAGCTTCTCTGTCATTAACCGTTTCATAAATTTCTCCACTTTGGTACCAAGACATTTACTTTTTATATATTCAGTAGGATATTTCTCACATGCTCCAATCGATGAGGATGCAACCCTTCTCTGTACCAGTCACAACTGGAAAAGAGAGAGAGAGAGAGAGAGAGAGAGAGAGAGAGAGAGACCCATAAACCATATACCCTTACCCACGAACTTAAAAAAGTTGGGTCGGCCTCCTTTCCATGGAGCTAGGACTGATTTTGGAGCCCCACATAGACTGGACTTGGTCGCTGTGGAACAACTACCTGCTCAGATGCCAGGGGGCTGAATGAGACTGACAGTGTATTTGAGTTTTGTTTTGTTTTTTCAAAATTGCCTGTTACAAACACTTCTGCAGTAGTCCTCATTATATTCGAAGTACTGTATTTCCTCCATTTGTAGGTATATTCCTCTTCCCCAATTTTAACTTTTTAAAAATCAGGATACATCTTAACAGAGAGGTTAAAGGGACTTGCCAGCTGCTTGGCATCCTCGTGGGTGGTGATGTCTGTCACTGCTTGCCCATGTGAAAATGCAGCTATGTGATTATTCCATCTGTTGAGATACTGGAAATGAACTTTAAGTTGAAATCTCTTAATTGTTTTTAGAAATAACTTAAAAAGACCCCGGCCCTGTGGCTCACTTGGTTAGATCATCATCTCAATACAGCAAGGTTGTGGGTTCCATCCTCGGTGGTGGAACAAGTTGATGTCTGTCTCTCTGTCTAAAAGAAAAGAATAAAAATAAAAACTTTAAAAGATAATGCTGTGATGTAGCATTAAAGCAACAGGTTTATAGTAATGTTTATTAAAGGTTTACTGTGTGCCTGACATTGTCTCAATTAATCAACTTTACAACCCTATGAAGTACAATTATTATTCTTATTTTATAGATGAGAAACTGAAGCTCAGATAGTTGAAGCGTCTTAGAGCTTTTAAGTGAAAGAGTCAGGATTCTAATCCAGGCTGTCTGATTCCAAAGCCTGCCCTCTTTCAAATCTGTAACCAAGCAGAAATGCATGCAGCTCATAAGGTCAAGGCCGGATCATGCATGTCTGTGTATCTTTGGCTATTTGTGTATGTGTGTATGGAACTGGGAAACAGAGCCACATCCAAGAGCATGGATTATATTTACTCCCACATTGATGCCAAATCTTTGTTTTTGGATCTTTTGCAGTTTTACATATATTTCTGCAAGTTCTGGCTGTTATGAAGGTGCTCCTGGATCCTTCCTCTCCTGCCTTGTGATCGTCTAGAAGAGAGAGGCATGCTCTCAAACCTACTCAACCGGCTGCTTCCCAAGGGGGCAGTACTTAATTTAAGAAAAGAGTCAGTTTTTCAGAGTTGTCCAAGTCACATCAGCCTCTAGGAGCCCCCAGGTTCTGGTGCTGCAGGAAAATGCCAAAGCCCTGAGGACAGGAGACTGTGATCAGGGGAGGACCACACAACTGTGAAGCCTCTCAGCCAGAGGTTCTGGAAGTTACCTCACCAGAGGTGGACAAGCCCAGTAGGGCAGACGTCATCATGCTGCAGCAGCTCTTGATCACCCTGCCCACCGAGGCCAGCACCTGGGTGAAGTTGCACCATCCAAGGAAAGCCAAGGAGGAGACACCCCTGTGGGAGGATGTGACTAAGATGTTTGAAGGAGAAGGTGAGAATAGACTGATGGAGGGGAGGATGGAAGGGGAAGAAGGAGATCTAATTAGTGTGTGAAAAGATGGGTACACTTGATTGTTCTGGTCTCTTGGGGAGAAAACTGAGGAAAAGCAGGTCTCTGGGGTTCATGCTTTTGGCTTTTGGGAAGAGGATAGCTGCGAGAGTTCTGGAGTTCGGGCTGTGTGATTGTTGCTTCCGGATCCCTCCTCTCCTGCCTTGTTGCTCCTCTAGGAGAATATAGAGGCATGCACTCAAACACAATCAACCGGCTGCTTCCCCAGGAGACAGTACTTAGTACTGTGCTCTCAGCACAGGCTCCTTGCTGACATGTGCTCCATGCTGCTTCCATCTCAAATACCACACACAACAGGAAAACAGAACACAAGATGTTCCCCGCCAGTGGTTCCTGAGTGTGTAAATGTGATTTATGGACAGCAAAGTCAAAGTTTTTTGCACCCGTAAGCCCTCTAATTGTTTTCCTTCACACATTTCAGTCATTTTAGCCCCAAACCAGTATCAGTTCTTTCTTTTCATCGTCTGCTGAGAAGAAGGAATGACGTGCTTGATTACTCTCATTTTACTTTTGAAATATGGATTCAGTGGGAAATATGTCTAAGATTACACATTATTTAGCGGCCTGATCAGGATTCATAGATGGATGGAGGAATTCGTGTGTTTCCTGTGGTCTCTTAATTCACAACTTTAACATGTTAGATTCAGCCAATATTTATTGTTCTAGCTGTGTCAGGCAGGGACTTTAGTAAGCATCTTGACAGATGGAAAAATGAATAATGATCTCTAGTGCTAATTATTTTTATTTTTTTTACTGATTTGAGAGAGAGAGGAAGGGAGAGGGAGAGAGAGATAGAAGCATCGACAAGAGAGAACATCGACTGGCCGCCTCCTGCATGTCCCCCACCAGGGATTGGGCCCACAACCTGGGCATGTGTCCCGACCGGGAACCGAACAGGCGACCTCCTGGTGCATGGGTCGACGCTCAACTGCTGAGCCACATGGGTTGGACTCTAGTGCTAATTATTAATTGATGGAGATAGACACATACCCAGATCAAAATAATAGAAAGCAATCTAGGAAAATGCTCTGGCAAAGTTCACTGGGAAGACAAGAGACAGGAAGCATTTTTCCAGTTGTACTTGTCTGAGAAATTTTCACAAAGCAGATAGCATTGAACTGGGCCTTGAAAGATGTCTAAGTTTTTTGTAGAAGGTTCAGAGAATGGAGGCCATTGTAGTCTATTTGAAGTTCGTGTTCATGTCCAACAGATAAAGGATAGGACTAGAGAAAACAAGTCTGGAAAGATATGCTTCAGGTGGACTCTAGAGAGCCTAGAAGTCCATGGGCAGTGGCTGGATTTATTTTCTTGTTGGGAACCTGTGAACAAAGGAGTGGCTTGGTAGATCTGTGCTTTTGGACCAGCACTGACCATTGGGAAATATTAATGCCCAAAACAATACACTGCAGATCCTCCTCATTAAGGAGGCTCCAGTCTGCTTGAGTCTCTCTAAATGTCCCTCTTTGTGAATGTATTGAGAGAGGAGACATATTCAGCAGGTCTGCAAGGCAGTTTTTCAATTTGGAGGGTTTGGGGAGATGCAAACCTCATGGCTCTTTTCCTTCCCCAGCTCTGCTATCTCAGGATGCTGAGGAGACCCAGGGAGAATGTTTAAAGGATGAAGGGACCTCTGGAGCCCGGACAGCAGAATTCCAGGTGGGTTGGAGTTTCCTCTCATTTTGTTGACATGCTTCTTGGTTTTTAAGGCTATAGTTTGCCTCTCCCCCCTTTTCTTTGGAGTGGGAGGTTGTTGAGGCTAACAAATTCAACCTAGGGAGCTCAGAGCACGCTGTTCTTGTACAGAAAACAGGACCACGGTGGTAGCCATTTACCTGCTCATAGAGGTTATACCTTCCACATGCAACTCTAACATTGTGCTAATTTCTGTAAGGAAAGCAAAATGAATGATATAATTTCAGCCTCTAAAAATCAACAGATACCACTTGGGATCTAAAATAAGCCTCATATATTTTTTTGAGTATTTCATGCTGAAAAACAAACTTTGTAAGAAGAGAGTTCTGATATTCTTAGTGATGTACACATGTCACCTGTGAACTTCATGAGGTGACCCTTAGAGTACTAGGAGTGGAGGTCAAACTGCAGCCAAAGAATTGAGAAGAAATGGTCAGGCTACAGGTGCACACGTTAGCCTGACAGACACAACAGGTGTCAGAAATGGGTGTCCTCACCGCCTGGTGGAAAGATAGGTGAGGCAGAAGGGAAACTGCTGAATAAACAGAAAAGGAAGAGGAGATGTTGTTCGGGGACAGAAGAGTTTTAAGTGAAAAGAACTTGGATTCTAAAATTAGATAGTACAAGCTTTGAACTTATTTCTTGAATTTACTTGGCTTGGTGATATGGGGCAGTATTTTTGAGCTGTTTACCATCCCAGTTTCCTCAGCTAATTCAGATGCTAATACATTCTGGGATTGAAATGCATTCCCGAGTTATTTAGAGAAATATGGAAGAAGTAAGTCTATTTAAAGAGTTATCTCTGCATTCCACCTTCCTGGAATTCCTCACTTCCTGACATTTATCAACAACTGATGGAGCCCTGGCCGGTTTGACTCGGTGGTAGAGCGTCGGCCCGCGGACCAAAGAGTCATGGGTTCGATTCCGGTCAAGGGCATGTACCTCGGTTGTGATTCATCCCTAGCTCTGGTCAGGGTTGTGGGGAGGCAACCAATCGATGTGTCTCTCTCATGTCGATGTTTCTCTTTCTTTCTCTCTTTCTTTCCCACTCTATCTGAAGATAAAAATGGAAAAAGGTATCTTCGGGTGAGGATTAAAAAACAAAACAAAAACTGATGGAATTCTTAGCACTCGGAAAATATTAAATTTTTATTTATTTTTTGCTATTTCATAAACTTATATTCTGAGTAAAAGATTCTACAGTCATATTGCCTGAGATGTAAAAAGTAACTGAAATTCTGTCAGAAGTTTTTGTCAATAGCACTTCTTATTGAGAGAAGTGGTTTATAACAGTTGTGCAGAGAATAACTTGGGAAATTAAGATTGTACAGGAGCCATAAAGATGTCCAAATAATTTTACACAATAATATAATTTCTTGGGTATTTTACCTAAGGGAAGTAAGAAAACAACTCTATACAAAAAAGAAAGTTACACTCGTGAAGCCATAAAAGTCTTAGAAGAAAATGTAGGCAGAAAAATCTCAGACATCACATGTAGTGGAATTTTCACTGATATATTGTCTAGGGTAAGAAAAACAAAGGAAAAAAATTAATAAATGGGACTACATCAAACTAAAAAGCTTCTGTACAGCAAAAGAAACCAGCATCAAAATGCAAAGAGAACCCACTCGCCCAGCTGGTGTGGCTCAGTAGTTGAGTGTCAACCCATGCATCAAGAGGTCGCCGGTTCAATTCCAGATCAGGGCACATGCCCAGGTTGTGGGCCAAATCTTCAGTGGGAGGGCATGCAGGAGGCAGCCGATTGGTGTTTCTCTCTCACATCAACGTTTCTATCTCTCCCTTCTCTCTCTAAAAAAAACAACAAAAAACAAATAATAAAATCATATTAAAAAAATTACACTATTTCACATATAATATGAAAGTCTTATATCTCCCATTTACTCTTTCTCATTCTTTGTGCATTAGCTTAATACATTTCTTTACATGTTATAAACCCTATAATACATTGTTCTTATTTTTGCTTTTAAATCCTCACCTGAGGATATTTTTCTATTTATTTTTAGATAGAGTGGGAAGAAGGGAGAGAGAGAGAGAGAGAGAGAAACAAACACTGATGTGAGAGAGACACATAGATTGGTTGCCTCCCGCATGACTCCGACCAGGGCCGAGACCAAACCACAACCGAGGTATGTGCCCTTGACGGGAGTCAAACCCATGACTCTTTGGTCCACAGGCTGATACTCTAACTGCTAAGCGAAACGGGCCAGGGCTTATTTTTGCATTTTTTAAAAAAAATTTTTTTCCTTTATTGACTTCAGAGACAGAGGAACTGACAGGGAGAGGGATAGAAACATTGATGAGAGAGAACATTGATAGGCTGTCTCCTGCATGCCCCGCACTGGGGATCGGGCCCACAAGCTGGGCATGTGTCCTGACCAGGAATTGAACCAGAGACTTCCTGCTGCCTGGGTCAGTGCTCAACCTCTGAGCCACACCAGCCAGACTTATTTTTACTTTTAACAGTAAATTGGCCCTGGCTGGTTTAGCTCAGCAGTTAGAGTGTCGGCCTGTGGACCAGACTCCCAGGTTCGGATCCCACTAGGGGCACGTACCAAAAAACCCAGTAAATTGTGTCATAAAAAAATTAAGAAAAGGCCCTGGCCAGTTTGGCTCAGTGGGTAGAGTGTTGGCTCGCAGACCAGAGAGGCCTGGGTTCGGTTCCCGCTAAGGGCACGTACCTCAGTTGTAGTTTGTCCTCTGCCCCAGTTGGGGTCATGTGGGTGGCAAGCACTTGATGTGTCTCTCTCACATCAATGTTTTTCTCTCTCTCTTTCTCCCTCCCACTCTTACCTGAAGATGAATGCAAAAATGTCCTCGGGTGAGGATAAAAAATAAATAAATTAATTAAGAAAACGAAAAGAAAATGAGTCTTTCATATGTGCCCACATATTTACCAATTCTGGCACTCTTAATTTCTTCCTTTAGTTCTGAGTTTCTCTGTGGCATCATTTTCCTTCAGCCTGAACAGTGTCACTTAGCATATCTTATAGTGAGTGTGGGTGTCCTGATGACAAATTCTCATAGCTTTTGTTGATCTAAAAATGTTTTTATATCATTTTTCTATTTGAAGATCTCTTACTGGATACAGAATTATAGGTTGACTGTTCTTTTAAGCACTTTAAAGGTGTTCCATGATCTTTTTGGCTTCTATTGTCTGGGATGAGAAGTCAGCTGTTATTTTTTTTTTTTATCCTCACCCAAGGATATTTTTCCATTTTTTGTACAGATAGAGTAGGAGGGAGAGAGAGGAAGAGAGAGAGAGAGAGAGAGAGAGAGAGAGAGAGAAACGTCAACGTGAAAGGGACACATCGAGTGGCTGCCACCCGCACGGCCAACCAGGGCCGGAGACAAACTGCAACCGAAGTACGTGCCCTTAGTGGGAACCAAACCCGGGTCTCTCCTGACCGCAGGTGGACGCTCTAACCACTGAGCAAAACCGGCCAGGGCTCAGCTGTTATTCTTTTTTTTTTTTTATCCTCACCCGAGGATATTTTTCCATTTTTTGTTCAGATAGAGCGGGAGGGAGAGAGAGGAAGAGAGAGAGAAACATCGATGTGAAGGGACACATCGAGCGGCTGCCACCCGCACGACCAACCAGGGCCGGGGACAAACTGCAACCGAGGTACATGCCCTTAGCGGGAACCGAACCCGGGTCTCTCTGTACTGCAGGCCGACGCTCCAACCGCTGAGCCAAACCGGCCAGGGCTCAGCTGTTATTCTTATTGTTTGCCTATATATGGTGTCTTTCTGCTTTCTGCTTTTTTTTTTTTTTTAATGCCATCTTTTCTTGTTTTTTTTTTGTTGTTGTTGTTCCTCCTTTCCTACCTTCTTTTGGTGACTTTCATGATCTTCCCTTTTAACTTTTTACTATGAAGTGCATAAGCATGGATTTTTTTGAATTTTTTCTTTTTTGGGGTTTGCTGAGTTTCTTGGATCTGTGGGTTAAGTTGCAAATTTTTTAGCCTTTATTTCTTCTCCATATGGAGGGGGGGGGGAGAGAGAGAGAGAGAAAGAGAGAGAGAGAGAGATTTATATAGATATAGTTGTTTCATTCTGTTTATTTCTGAGAGACTCTAGGCCCTTTCCTCTGGTAGTTAAGGTAGGGGACTGATTATTCATATTCCTGCTAGATCCTTGGCTGAACCCTTGCTGTGACACAGCTTTGATTCAGTTCACTTCTGATTAACCCAGCTACCCATGCCCAACAACACCACTGCAGAGGGGCTGATCTTTTTTATCTCCTCAGTATTTGAGCTAGGAAGGGGTTAGACTACAGTTCCAGACAGTTTTATTCATCTTTGCATTAAATTCCAGCAGGGCCCCAGAATTTAAGCTCAGCAGGAATGCATTGGCCTTTGTGACAACAAGTTCTAAACGACTCTCTTCTCTCACCCTCCACTCCCTGGGCCTCTCTGATCTCTTCTTCCACTCTCCCTTTTACTAACCTACCTCGAGTGATGCTGTCCACGTTCCTGCTCTTCAAACAAGCAGATGACATGACAATAGTTCCTTTGCACCTGCCTGGAATATTCTCCCCTTAAATTTCCACAAAACGCTCACTGAATTTACATCTCTGGTCAAATATCACCCTACGTAGAAGACCATCCGTACCCTCACTGTGGCTTTCCCTATTCCCCTTGTCCTGATTTATTTATTTTAAAGCACATATGACCATCTGTCCTTCTATGTATTTAATTATTTATGGTAATCTCCAGAAACTCTCCAAACAGATCTAGAGGAAGCTCCCAATGAACCTAGTTTAGAATCTCTCAGAATTTAGAATAGTAAGAACTCCATGGGCATTGATGGAGGTGGTCTGTGGCTGAAAAGCAATATATTCTAGGAACGACTGACCTTCAAGGACATATCTGTGAACTTCACCCATGAGGAATGGGGGCAACTGACCCCTGCTCATCGGAATCTGTACCGGGAGGTGATGCTGGAGAACTACGGGAACCTGGTCTCAGTGGGTAAGGATGGGTTAAGTGTTTATCCAGAAACCTGCCCATTATAGGAGTCATTATTTCTAAACTGTTAAATGTTGTGGATTTCACCCTGGCCGGTTTGGCTTAGTGGTTAGACTGTTTGTCCATGGACCACAGAGTCGCGGGTTTAATTCCTAGTCAATGGCACATACCTTGGTTGTTGGTTCAATCCCCAACCCCCATTGGGGTCACGTGGGAGGCAACCAATTGATGCGGTGGGTCTTTCACATTGATGTTTCTCTCTCTCTCTCCCTCCCTTCTTCCCTCACACTCTATCTGAAGAAAAAAAAAAAAATCAATGGAAAAATATCCTCTGGTGAGGATTAAAAAAAAAATTAAATAAAAATATCATGGATTCCCTAGATCTTGGCCTTGGGTTCTGTGTTAGCGGTGTCTCATTCCTTTGGAAATCAAGCCAAGGCACATCTGATTCTCCTTTCTTTACTTTGCAGAGCTAAAATAGGAAGACATGCTGAGGTGCCCCTTTCCATTTTCAAAGATCTTAGGACTGGAACTAAAATCTGGGGATGGTTCTTAAATCTCAACATAAGCATTCATACTCTTTTTTTTTTTTTACTCCATAAGCAGGATATGAATTTTCCAAACCTAGGGTGATTTCCCAGTTGGAGAAAGGAGAAGAACCATGGATAACAGAGAAAGAAGGCCTAGGACATCCCAGTTCAGGTGAGCCAAGGCAGATGGAACCTTTTCACATATAGGCCAGAGTGACCAAAGTCTTCTTAGGTTGTGGGGACAGGGCATGCGCTAAACCGATTTCACCCCTCCCTCTGCCCCCCTTTCCTTCAATAAATTTTCAGGATTTTCCCCATAAAGGTCTTATGCATTTTATATCTCTTTTGTGAGATTCATCTTGAAGACCTTAAATTTTGTTGCTATTGTAGATGGTATATTTTTTAAAATTATGTTTTTTGTTTGTTGCTGGTATGTCATAATACAGTTGGTTTTGTATATTGATCTTATAGCCAACCACCTGTTTCACTCTGTTATTAATTCCAATAACGTTTGTACATTCTCTTGGGTTTTCTTTTTTTCAACTTATAATAATGGAAGTAATAATAGAAGCTGCAATGGTGTTATTTCCCTACCTCTGGATAAAATCTCAAAGAGGCTCAGAGGAGGGGGGTGGGGAGGGAAGAAAGAGATAAACCAAAGAACTTGTATGCATATATGCGTAACCAATGGACATAGACAACAATACTGGGGGGGGGGGGGATCAGGGGTGGGATTCAGAGGAGGGTATCAGATAGAGTGGGAGGGAGAGGGAAAGAGAGATACATTGACATGAAAGGGACACATCAAGTGGCTGCCTCCTGCACAACCCAACCAGGGTCAGGGACAAACTGCAACTGAGGTATGTGCCCTTAGTGGGAACAGAACCTGGGTCTCTCTGGACCACAGGCCGATGCTCTAATTGCTGAGCCAAACCAGCCAGGGCAGGAGAAACATCTGTAACAAAAATAAATTAATAATTTTTTAAAAATCTCAAAGAGGCCCTGGCCAGTTTGGCTTAGCAGTTAGAGCGTCAGCCTGTAGACCAGAGAATCTTGGATTCAGTTCCCGCTAAGGGCACGCACCTCGGTTGCAGTTTGTCCCTGGCCCCGGTTGGGGTCATGTGGGTGGTAACCAGTCCATGTCTCCCTCTCTCTCTCTTTGCCCCTCCCTCCCTCCTGCTCTATCTGAGGATAAATGCAAAAATGTCCTCAGGTGAGGATAAAAAAAAATCTCAGAAGTTCCATAGATGGTCCAGTCTCTTTAAATAATAATAACAATCTAAATTTAGTAAAACGTTTAGTTCAGTGAAATAATAAAAACTCCTAACTTCAAAGTTCAATATTTTCTTCTCCCCTGGCTTGGGCTGCTTCAGGCCTGGATACTGAATTGCAGAGGGGGACATAGATGGCTTCTTCTGTCTTTCCCCGTCTTCTCTTTCTCCTCCACTATTTAGGATCAGAATCAGGGGCCAGCAGAACATAGACTATATTGTTGCCACTATTCAGTTAGAATGTAGAATTTGGAAATACTAGTGATCTTTTTGTGTTGATCAAAAAATCATATAAGAAGTTATACCTTTCAGGAATACAAAGCTGTCAGCTGAAATATTAGTAATGGGTATAAAAAATGATCAAGTAAGAAAAAACCAGTCAGAATTTTAAAGGTTAAAGGAAATTTTCATAGAACATAGCAATAGTAACAATATAGTCTGGGTTTCTTACAAGTCTACTTTGTATAAATAACACTTCCAGGGACAGATTAATAAGCACAGGAAACATAATAATGTGTAAATATTAACACATGTTTCAATATAAGACAGCTCAATGTTCCTGTGAATTTTTTTAGTTCCAAAATTGTTTTTTGAACTAGTGTCTCTGGCTGCTGCTGGAGTGGGGAGAGGGACTTTGGTTTTTTCTGAGATGGTTTTCTAAAAGTAGTTGTCAATTAAAAAGACATATTTTAAAGACATAGCTCTGAAATTTGATTATTTAGCATTATTAGAAAGAGCAGGGCTAAAATGCTCAAATTTTACTTGATCGCATTTTTACTCTGTTTACTGTTTGTTAATTTTAATTTCCTATTACCTCTTCAAGATGCATAACCATATTTAAATATAATGAAAATCTCATGTACTTTATATATATTGTTATCTAAAGCTCTATAGTAATTGAGTTTTCAAAGCATAAATAATATGAGTTATTTGTATTTTTTCCATTTCAGACTTGAAGAGTAAAACAGAACCCAGTATGTCAACTACAAAGAATGACATTTTGCAGGAACAGTTATATCAAGGCATTATGATGGAAAGGTTCATGAGCAATGATGTCATTGATTCCACACTGAAAAAAGTCTCCAAATATGATGATGAGTTGGAAAGGTACCAGGACACCCATGGAAGAGATTTAAGACAAGCCATCTTGACCCACAAGAAGAGAAGCCAAGAAACTAACAAGTTTGGAGAAAATATTGTGAGTTCAAAGGTTATTATAGAACAGAGGTGCCGTAAATATGACACACTTAGAAAGAGGAGCAAATACAAATCAGATCTGATTAATCATCCAATGAATTACATAAGAACAAAAACCTATGAATGTAATATATGTGAAAAAATCTTCAAACAACCCATTCACCTTACTGAACATATGAGAATTCATACTGGTGAGAAACCTTTCAGATGTAAGGAATGTGGAAGGGCCTTTAGTCAAAGCGCATCTCTTAATACCCACCAGAGAATTCATACTGGTGAGAAACCCTTTGAATGTGAAGATTGTGGCAAAACCTTCAGACATCGCTCCTCTCTTAATCAGCATCACAGAACTCACACTGGGGAGAAACCCTATGTATGTGATAAATGTCAGAAAGCTTTCAGCCAGAACATTAGCTTGATCCAACATCTGAGAACTCATTCTGGAGAGAAACCCTTTACATGCAATGAATGTGGGAAAACCTTTCGCCAAATCAGACACCTTAGTGAACATGTAAGAATTCATACTGGGGAGAAGCCCTATGCATGCACTGCATGTTGTAAGACCTTTAGTCATAGAGCGTATCTAACACATCACCAGAGAATCCATACTGGGGAGAGACCCTACAAATGTAAAGAATGTGGGAAAGCCTTTAGGCAGAGAATCCACCTTAGCAACCACAAAACTGTTCATACAGGAGTGAAAGCATACGAATGCACACGCTGCGGAAAAGCCTATAGGCACGATTCATCCTTTAAGAAACACCAGAGACATCACACTGGAGAAAAACCTTATGAATGTAATGAATGTGGAAAAGCCTTCAGCTATAATTCATCACTTACTCGGCACCATGAAATACACAGGAGGAATGCTTTCAGAAATAATGTCTAAACACAGATTATCCAACATGAAAACGAAAGCCAAGTCTAAATAGGTGATTCTATGCTTTTAAATTTCAGGACTCTAAATTTGAGTTATTGATATAATGATGCCAACTTCTAATTTTGCCCATTGTGTAAATAAACACTACATTGATAACTACTATCTACTAACACCTCCATCCAAAGTACGTAATCAAGAATAAAGGATGGTCCTTCCAATTAAATTCAGCAATATGGAACATTCACACATTTTTTTTCTGATTTCATGGTGGATTAATTATTATTCATGGGCAGTTACTGATTTACAGACAAGTATTTGGGAACTACTGTTTAAAATGTCACCACCCCATGTTTTAAATTAAAGTTTTATTTTATTTTTTTTAGTGGAGAAAACGTTTACAAAGTTCAAAAGGTACAGACAGTTGTATAAGTGATAAGTCTCTTTCCCACACCCCCAACCACCAAATTCTACCTAAAAGCAACCATTTTTTATAACTAATTTCTTTGTGTACCTTTCCAGATATTTTTCTATTTATAGCCAAGAGAATATAGATCTAGTTTTTCTTTATAAGTATAAATGGCAACCTCCAGTACAAATGCATCTGCATGTTACTTTTATTAACTATATATCATGAAGGTCATTCCACATCAGTAAAGTGCCTACTCATTCTTTTTTAGAGCTACATAATATTTCATGTTTTTAGCCAGTCCACTATGGATGGACCTTGATTTCCAATCTTTTGTTTATATAATGTTGCAATGAATAGTCATATATTTTTATTTCTCACACATGTATGTATGTAGGGTAAATTTCTAAAACAGGAATTTCGGTGCTAGAGGGTGTGTGCATTTATATGATGGTTATTGCCAAGTTGACCTCCATAGAGGTTGGGCCAATTTATTTTCCACCAGCAAGATATAAAACTCCATATCTGATGCTGAAACATCTCCTAGACCAACAGCCTATCAGCCATCAAAGAAGTATCGGCTTGTCTCAGTAACGTAGCCTAGAAGTACCAGCTAAGCTACATCCCCAGAAAGATCAGCACTTGCCATCCATGGACCCAGAGAGGAATCTGTATCTTACCTAATAGCAGCCAGGCCCATCAGTCACAGCTGGGAAAGGAGAAGACATTTTTTTCCACCAACTGCTGTAGTCCCTGGGATACAGAAAAGTAGGACATGCCTTTCTAATGAATAAACAATGAATGCGAGCATTAATTAGTTAACATTGCTTCCTGTGTTGTGAAAACTGAGCAAGGTCAGGACCACAGTGATTTTGTATATGTTCATTTTTCAATCCGGTAAGTTTATTAAAATTTCATGGTTCTCCATTTACTTTTCTCCTAATCGATATGGGCTCTAAACTGAATATACAGGGTTGGCAAATTAGGTTTACAGCTGTATGTGAAATACAGTTTATTCTTGTATTATTTATTAATTATTGTATTATATCAAAACTATAAACCTTTTGCCCACCTGTGTATCAGTTGGAACTCTAGGTTGCAAATAACAAATCAGCTGGGGGAATTTAAGTCTCAAAGGGGGTGCTATTAGAGATATTGGATTATCTTATGTACAGGGGCTGCAGTACATTCTAACAGTGGACTGGGACCTAAAGTCCTTTGGAAAACCCAGGCAGTTTTCTTTCCATTTGTCACCTCTGCTGCTTGTACCTTCATTCTGGCTTTTTTTTTTAAAAACACCTCATTGCAAATCATGGTTACTATCAACTCCAGATTTCACATTTATTCAGTTTCCACCTCCCAGAAAAAAGCTGCCTTCTCTTTCTCACTGTCTATCTCAAAATCCTGGGGAAGGTCTCTTATTGGCCCAGCTAGGTCATGTCCCCACCTGTAAAGTCAGTTGTAGGCAGAGATCTTAACTTCTATGGAAACCATGTGAATGGTGTGGTGGTGAAGTTCGAGAGGAGGGGGTTTGTGGTATCACCACCCATCCAATTCTCCAGTTTAAACTTCCTCTCCCTCTCATCCATTACTTCCCCCAATCAGTCACCAGGTCCTATATATTCTGTTTAGGATTTAACTCTATATCTACTCCATTCCCATCGTCAGTGCTTTAATTAGACTTGTAGCACTTCCTGACTGCTTAAATAGATTTCTAACTGGTTTTTCTATGTCTAACCTGGAGTAATCTCTCATCTTCCCTGCTGCTGCTAGAGTGATCATTCTAAAGCACATAGCTAATCAAAGTACATTATTGTTTAAAATTCCTCAATGTCTTCTGAAGCATACTAGAGAAAGCATACTTGACTCCAGCCATCAAGACCTTATGGTCCTCTAGATAGTCCATGCTATTTCATGGGTTCTGGTCCTCAACTGTGCTATTTTTCCCTCCTTTTGACCAAGTTCTTTGTTAGCTCTTACTCATCCTTCCAGATTTAGTTTGTGCCATATCATCAGGGAATACTACATCTCACAAAATTTATGCCTTCTTGGATGAACAATTGAATTTTTGGCTAAATTTACTGAAAAAAAAAAAAAAAAAAGAAAACCAAACAAACTAGAGTGATAGATCTTATCCTACAGAATTTTTGACCAGAGAGTGATAACATGTGGTTTAAATTTATAGTTACTCTAGAATCAATGTGGAAGACCATGGCTCAACATGAAGCAAACGCCAGTGTTACACCGCTTCAGTTTTCTTGATATTGTTGCTTGCTTCACTTCCTTCTTTTCTTAGTTTTGCTACTATGGGTTTGAACCTTTTACAAAAAGCATCTAATCCTCTCCTCAGGCTCTGTTTTTTAGAAGACTCTGGCTAAGACCAGCACCTAACCCCAGTTTGATTAATCAGGGACAATGAGACAATTTCTGAACTTATCTTTGAGGTATCAGGGAAATACCTCACAAATCTGGAAGGCTGTATCCCTTGGAAGCTACTAGCCATGGAAGAAGAGGGAGGCTACCTGCAAATGAAGCAAACACACTGATACAGATCCAAGAAATGAGGAGAAAAAACTCAATTCTGGTCACATTGACCCCTGAATCATAGCCTCACCTGAAGTTAGAGCTCCTGGGTTTTCAAACTCTTATTAATGGATTCAAGCCCTGCCCGGTTTGGCTCAGCGGTTAGAGCGCCCGCCTGCGGTCTGGAGAGACCCGGGTTCGGTTCCCGCTAAGGGCATGTACCTTGGTTGCAGTTTGTCCCCGGCCCTGGTTGGTCATGCGGGTGGCAGCCACTCGATGTGTCCCTTTCACATCGATGTTTCTCACTCTCTCTCCTCCTCTCTCTCCCTCCCACTCTGTCTGTACAAAAAATGGAAAAATGTCCTCGGGTCAGGATAAAAAAAAAAAATGGATTCAAATGTCTTATATATGAAGCAGCCTGTTTTTAGCAGAAGCATGCCCCAGTCTTACATCTGTATCTCATTTCCATCTCCCCTAACTTCCTAGCTTAGGGCTACCTTCTCTGGCTTTCTCCAACTAAGCAATGTTCTTTTCAATGACCAGACATTGGTGTTGGGCCGAAGAAATGCCGATATTAATATGGGGGAAGAGAAGATTCTCAAATACAGAATATTGCCAATGGGCTTCTCTTGAGCATATAAAAATTATGCCAGTAATTGTTCTAACACCTGTGAGGAACACAAACTTGAGCAAGATAAATAAATCCCCAGCCTTAGGCTCTGATGCTCTAGAGCAGCACTGTCCAAGAGAAATACAATGTGAATCACAACACAAATGTGAACCATATATATAATTTAAAAATTTCTAGCAGCCCAGCCTGTGTGGCTGAGTGGTTGAGCATCGACCCATTCACCAAGAGGTTACTGGTTCGATTCCGGGTCAAGGCACATGCCCAGGTTGTGGGCTCGATCCCCAGTGGGAGACATGCAGGAGGCGGCTAATCGATGTTCTCTCTCAACGATGTTTCTCTCTCTCCCTCTCTCTCTAAAAAATTAAAAAAAAATAAAATATTCTAGCAGCCACATTAGTACAATAAGAAGCAATAAGTAAAATACATTTCATTTAACCCAATATATCCAAATATTATCATTTCAACATGTAATATAAAATGTATTAGTTATTTTATATTCTTTTTTCACACTAAGTCTTCAAAATACAACATGTACGTTACAGTTACAGCATGTCTCATTTTGGACTAGCCACATTTCATGTGCTGAAGAGCCACAGGTGGCTAGTGGCTACTGTGTCGGACAGTGAAACTCTAGTAAGTACTCCTGTAGACAAACACTTCTACCATAAATACTTATATGGTAGACGGTAATCAGTGCGATGTTAGAGGTACAAATTCTGTGCTCTGAAAGAGTAGGAAGGAAAGATGGAAAGAGGAAAACAGACCATTTGTGTCTAACAGTATTTCCTTTGTTACAGATATCCCTGGAGATGGACAAACTAAATCAATTACTTTGCATTCAGATGGGCCTTAAATACCCAAATTTCTTAGGGTAGCCTTTTGAGGAAGGGCATCTTTTTTTTTTTTTAATTTAAGTTCTAGTCTTGAGAAAAAGCTTTTGGGAACACGATTGTGCTGTCTTGGGTATTTCTTTCCCCCGCAGACTCCATGATTGTTTCTGAACCTCTTCTGCTTCCCGCAACCCAGCAGCATTTTCCCCAACTCTCAGTTCCATTGAAAGATAGATCACTGTGTGCAAGGGCTGAGGAGGGGCTTTCCTGGCATTGGGAGTTACATCATGGTGAGGAAGGTTATACTGGGGAGGAGGCAGAAACCTTTTCAGCCTCAATCCAGAAATGCCTACTCATATTTCATTTGATTAAAAAGATTTTCCTTAATTTTCATACTTCTAAGAACAAGGACATTTTCCTATATAACCACAAAGTCATTATCACACTCAGGATATTTATAATTGATACTATTAGCTAATAAGCTATTTAAATTTCCCCAACTGACCCCAAATGTCCTTTGTAATTTTTTTTTTAACATTTTGGTATTTTTATTTAAGAAAAATTTCCCTATTCTTAAGTCTAAAATGTATTTTCCTCTATTCTAAAATCTATATAGTTTAGCTTTTCACATTTAGGTCTTTAATCCTTCTGGAATTGATTTTTGTGATGAAGTCAGAAGTTTCTTTATATATATTTAATAAGGATACCCTATTGTCACAGAACCTTCATCAAAAAGGCCATCTTTTCTCCATGGCTATGCAATGCCATCTTTGTCATAAATCAAGTTTCCAAACATATGATAAAAACTGTAAAGAAAAGCAAAGAGCCCGGCTGGTGTGGCTCAGTGGACTGAGTGTGGTCCTACTACTGAGAGGTTCCCAGTTCAATTCCTGGTCAGGGTACATGCCTGGGTTTTGGACTTGATCCCCAGTAGGGGGTGTGCAGGAGGCAGCTGATCACTGTTTCTCTTTCACATAGATATTTCTATCTCTCTCTCCCTTCCTCTCTCTAAAAATAAATAAAATATTTTTTTTAGTTTTTTTTTTTTATCCTCACCCGAGGACATTTTTCCACTTTTTGTTCAGGTAGAGTGGGAGGGAGAGAGAGGAAGAGAGAGAGAGAGAGAAACATGGACGTGAAAGGGACACATCGAGTGGCTGCCACCCGCACAACCAACCAGGGCCGGGGACAAACTGCAACCGAGATATGTGCCCTTAGCGGGAACCGAACCCGGGTCTCTCAGGACCGCAGGCCGACGCTCTAACTGCTGAGCCAAACCGGCCAGGGCGGTATAAAAAAATTTTTTTTTTTTTTTTTTTTAACATCCTCACCCGAGGACATTTTTCCATTTTTTGTTCAGGTAGAGTGGGAGGGAGAGAAAGGAAGGGAGAGAGAGAGAAACATCGATGTGAAAGGGACACATCAAGTGGTTGCCACCCGCACAACCAACCAGGGCCGGGGACAAACTGCAACCTCGGTATGTGCCCTTAGCGGGAACCGAACCCGGGTCTCTCTGGACCGCAGGCTGATGCTCTAACCGCTGAGCCAAACCGGCCAGGGCTTTTAAAGGTTTTGTGTGTGTTTTATTTTTATTTTATTTTATTTTTTTTTATCCTCATCCGAGGACATTTTTCCATTTTTTGTACAGACAGAGTGGGAGGGAGAGAGAGGAAGAGAGAGAGAGGGAAACATCGATGTGAAAGGGACACATCGGGTGGCTGCCACCCGCACGACCAACCAGGGCCGGGGACAAACTGCAACCGAGGTACGTGCCCTTAGCGGGAACCGAACCCGGGTCTCTCCGGACCGCCGGCGGACGCTCTAGCCGCTGAGCCAAACCGGCCAGGGCTTTTTAAAAAAAGAAAAGAAAAGCAGTGATGTCATAAAAGTCAGGCTAGTGATTTCCTCAGGAAGGAGGCATGGGAGTTTATTTCAGAAGGGCCTGAAACTTTAAAATTTTTGCTCTAATGATAATGTATCGGTTCAATAATTATTACACTTACCTTTATTTTGTATTTTAAAATATAATTGTGTTATTCCTGGCCGGTGTGGCTCAGAGGGTTGGGCACCATCCATGCACCCAAGGGTTGCCAGTTCAATTCCTGGTCAGGGCACATGCCTAGGTGTAGGGACTGGATCCCTGGTAGGGGGCATGCAGGAGGCAGCCAGTCGGTATTTCTCGCTCATATAGATGTTTCTCTCTCTCTTCCTTCCTCTGTCTCTAAAACTATCAATGAAAAAAAAAATCTTTAAAAAAAATAATATAACTATGTTATATTTCCCAGTAAAAAAGGTTAATTAAAAAGTAAGTAAATAGAGCCCGGCCATGTGGCTCAGTGGATAGAGCATCATCCCATGGACTGAGAGGTCCCAGTTGGCTTACTGGTCAGGGCACATGCCCAGGTTGCAGGCTCCATCCTCAGTAGGGGGAGGGGGCATGCAGGAGGCAGCCCACTGATGTTTCTCTCTCTCTCTCCCTTCCTTTCTAAAAAAAAGAAATCAATTTAAAAAATATTTTTTAAAAAAAGTAGCTCTGGCCGGTTTGGCTCAGCAGTTGTAGAGTGTCGGCCTGTGGTCCAGAGAGACCCGGGTTCGGTTCCCGCTAAGGGCATGTACCTCGGTTGCAGTTTGTACATGGCCCTGGTTGGTCGTGTGGGTGGCAGCCACTCGATGTGTTCCTTTCACGTGGATGTTTCTCTCTCTGTCTCTCTTTCTCCCTCCCACTCTATCTGAACAAAAAATGGAAAAATGTCCTCAGGTGAGGATTAAAAAAATAATAATAATACAAAATAAATAAATTAAAAAAAAAAAAGTAAGCAAGCCCTGGCCAGTTTGCTCAGTGGTTAGAGCGTTGGCCTGCGGTCCAGAGAGACCCGGGGTCGGTTCCGCTAAGGGTGTGAACCTCAGTTGCAGTTTGTCCCCGGCCCTGGTTGGGTCGTGTGGGTGGCAGTCAGTCCATGTGTCTCTCTCACATAAATGTTTCTCTCTCTCTCTCTCTTCCTCTCTCCCCCTCCCACTCTATCTGAACAAAAAGTGAAAAAATGTCCTCGTGAGGATAAAAAAAAAAAAAGGAAGTAAATAGAAAAGAGGAATACACTGATGAGAGGAGCGGCAGCATCTTTGAAAGTGAGTTCGTGGTTTTCTCTCCGCTGGAAGAGCTGGTGCGAGGTGGGGGGGAGGGGGTGGGATACACAGCATCCAAGGTGGCGAAGCGAAACGCAACACCTAACGGACTGAGGCCACGTGCCCCGGAGAAAGGGACAAGCCCAGACATCTCTCGGGCTCTGGCTTGACATTAGTCAGGAAACCTCCCCAGAACGGCGCTTCTAGATCAAGAGAGCGCGAAGCTCCGCGCCCAATTAAACCAGACGCAGAGGCAGCAGCGCGCGAAGACCGGCGGAGAGGTGGGCGGCGCTTCAGGACCCTCCGCGGCCCCGCGCTGGCCAGGCTCTCGTCTGAGCGCAGCCTCGCGAGAACCAGGCGGCGCTGCTGCGGCCTCTGGGGAGGGCGGGCCGTGGGCAGCCGCTGGGCGTGCAGGGGCTGGTCTCCGGCAGCGCTGTGCAAAGCTGGGAGGGAAGGGCTGCTGCCTAATCTGCTCCTGTTGGTCAGGAGTAGAGTTCGGGAGCAGTTCCGAGGCCGCGGCGGAGTCGGGTGGAGTCCGGGATTCGCAGGAATATCCAAGGTTAAGGGGAGGCCGGCGAATGGGGGTGGTGGGCTGAGGGGCTGCATTTTGGAGCCCGGGGTCTGTCCCCGCGGTTGCCGCGTCCCCCACTCTCCACCCCGGGTGGCAGCGGCTTGTCTTGTCTGCCCGCGCAGGCCAGGCTTCTGTGGGTTCTGGGCCCTTCACCCCCGGGAGTCCCTGCAGTCCCCTCGGACCCCTTCCGGAGGCCAGCGATCCCGTGCTCTCGTTCCCGACTCCTCCAGGACACTGTAGGAAGCACTCAGCAAACTTTAGGGCGCGCGTGGAACAGTGGTTTGGGGCTAGTGGAGAGGTACCTCCTGAAGGCAAATGTTCTCGGCGCCCGTAACTCCGGGCTGCTCCAAACAAGTAGGACGCCGAGGTCGTGAAGGCAGTGGTAGGTCCTCAAGCAGCAGGAACCCGTCAAAGAAGAAAAAGCCTCTATGTGGCCTGAGGTCTCTGCCCCAATTTCTGGACTGAGCTGGGGGCTGGAAGAGGAAACTGACCGCGGAGCTCCTGGGAGAACTTGGTTATTTTTTATTCTTTTACTTGCAATGAGCAGGGATTGGATCAAATAGCTGCGCCTAGGGTATGGGGGAAATGAAGAAGTCATGGAGGATTTGCCCCTGGAGAGAGACAAGCGTTACCTAGGACCTGGGATGGGCTACTGTTTGTGCAGTGTGGAACAGAGAGGGAAACGCCACAATATGAGAGACTGGTCAGATGAGAAAGTACCGAAAGTCCCCGTTCCACCACAGCAAAGCCTAGAGTTGCTAATCTGGATTCTCCGATGTAGACCTGGTCTTTGACAGTTTCTTTCTCCTCCCCCAGCTTTATCATTTCAGCATTCTGCCTTTCCCTGTGAGGAGGAAGATAACTAAGTCCCAGGAGAGTAGTTTTCCTCTTTCCTAAGGTTTGATCTCATTTGTCGAGGGAACTGATACACTATCCCTTCCTTGGGAAGGGGAAGAAGATACACATTGGTGAGTGCTAATATATATACTGTTTTATTACTCAGTTATTTGGGTAGCTGAGTACAGTTGGAAGGAATACTCTAATTTTATTGTTTTTGTTTTTTTTCAATCCTCACCTGAGGATTTTTTCTATTTTTCTTCAAATAGAGTGGGAGGGAGGGAAGGAGAGAGAGACATGGATGTGAGAGGGACACATGACTGGTTGCCTCCCTCAGGACCCTGACCAGGGCCAGGGATGAACTGCATCCCAGTTATGTGCCCTTGACCTGAATCGAACCCAAAACTCATTGGTCCACAGGGCGATGCTCCAACTACCAAGCAACCGGCCAGGTCAGGAATACTCTAATTTTAAAGATGTATCAGTAGCCTCAGGAAACCTTGATCAAGAGTACTCCTAAAGCAAATCATACTACTAAATACTACTGAAAGTCAGGATCAGATTCAGAATCCAGATCTGTAGGATCCCCAGTCTCTTGACACTATGCTGGTGTTTCTCAAACATCTCATTCACTTGCCACATAATGATTTTGCCATACCTATGTACTACATGTATTGTTATGCTCGTATTTTAATTCTTTACTACATTTATTTAAAAATCAAACTGCCCTAAGAAGCACTATGAAATTATACATTTGATGGATGCTCTGATAGCTTTACATTTATTCTAAGGTACATCTAAAAATATTGACCAATGTTCCAGGTAAAATTGACTCGTGTCAAGAAGATTCAAACTGCATTTTGGGACCCAGTGCACTGACTGCATCATGCTCTTGCTGAGATTTTTTTTCTGCATAGGAAGGTCCAAGCAACACATCTTAATCTAAATTGCCCATCCCCAGTGTATTGTTTTCTTCTTTTCGATGAATAATTCTACAGAGAATGCACCACCCTCCCCTCTTGTGTCTTTTCCACAAAATATTTCACTTACTTGTTCAGAGCTACTCTCTTCTCAATGTTGTATGAAAAACAAGTAGAAAGTCCATACCTTTCAAGAGCCTACTCTTTCTTTGGGGAGTTAATACAGAGACACGTGAAACAATCTAAAACAGTACTGTCCAGTAGAGCTTTCTGTAATCAGGGAAATGTTCTGTATCTGTGCCTTATAATGTGGTACCCACTCGAAATGTGCCCAGTGCAACTGAGAAAATGAGTTTTAAATTTTAATTTTAAGTTTAGTCACCTGTGGCTGGTGGCTACGTATTGAGCAACCCAGGTCTAGATATTTGAAATGAAATATTTTCAAAGTCAGTTGATTTGGATTTAGTGCTCTGTTCCTGGTGCGGAGGGAGGAGGGAAACCCCAAAGTATACCTGTTTATTGCCATTTCACTTTAGTTTCTTGGTAGAGGGTAAAGATTCCCTCCAACCTTCAGGGACTTGATGCTCCAAATAACGTTACTTGTTTTGGAACGTTCATCATTTAAGGCACATTTACTGTTTAAGACACTTGTGCAAATGTGCAGCTTCTGTGTTTTATTACTATTCAAGTATATCATTTTCTTCAAGGCATCAGTTCTTAAACTTTAAACCTGGGAGTTGGTGCATTTCGCTTATTCATTGCTTATTAGAATAGCAAGGAGGAAACTTGGCCCATAGTTACCTCAGTTGGCTTAAATTCTGTGTCAAATTATTTTTCTGGCACCCAAAGTCAAATAATAGTGGACTGGTCATACCTTGTTTTGGTTCTTCTCTGTACAAGGTTAGATACGTGAGGTTAGAAGGAAGGCTTAAAAAGAGTATCTTCACAAGGTAATTTGTCTAGTTTCTTAAGATTAAAAAAACTTAAGAGATAAAACAATCAAACGAAATGTGTGGTCTTTGTTTCCTGGTTTAAAGAAAATCTATCCAAAACATTTTAGGGTAGTTGGAGAAATCTGAATATGGACCAGAGTGTTAGGGAATTATTAATTTTGTAAGATGTGATAATAGTATTATAGTTAAGTAGGAGAATGTATGTACATATTTATATTTGAAGTGTTATGATGTCTGTAATTTACTTTAAAATAAGTCAGCCCCCCAAAAAGCAAACGCAACACATCAATAGTTGTTTATCTAGACAGTGTGTATATAGGTGTTCATTGTTCTGTTCTTTCTGTTTCTCTGTATGTATGAAATTTTTCATAGTAAAACATTTTTAAAAGTACGTGTCCTCTAGTAAAGTAGTGAGTTATTGCATGTGAAACACTTGTCCCGGTGTCTAGCATGCAATAAATATCACTATTATTTATATAATTTATTTTATTGTTGATATTAGTAACGCTTATTGACAATTGACATATTTTCCATCATAAGCTAATGTGGAGGGAGAAAATAAAAATGTTAGGAGGATAATTTATACTGTCAGTAAGGGTAAAGTAAAACCTGCCGAGAGCTTTTGTCCTTGCTATTTCCTTAACATGTCTCAAGTATAAAAAAGCAACTGATTTCCACATGTCTCTGTGAACATCCTCTTTCATTACTTCATGCTGTTACTTTGTGTATGAGTTACTATTTGTATCAATAGTTAGTCTTTAAATTTTGTTCCCGACAACTATACTTAAAAACAGTCATTGTAGAGCTGATTTTCCTCAAGAAACAGTTTGTAATTGAGATTTATTTTCATAGTCAAAGACTTTGTATCAAAGGAGTTGAAGAAGTGATCCATGGTAAACTGTCAGACATTGCTCCAACATTTACAAAGGTCTGTATTCACTTAAAATAATGAAATAATGTCCCAAGTCAGTAGAATTTCGAAGCAGAAAAGGCAAACTCAGATATTTTAAAAGGAAGAAATTGAGGCCAAGGAAAGTGATATGCTTAAAGCCACACATAATATGTTAGTGCTAAATTCAGGAATAAAACTATTTTGCACTTTAAAAAATTTTAAGTGTTCATATATGGATGATGCAACGAACCTAGTATTGTACATTGTACCTGTACTACAACTCTGTAGCATTAATAAATAATAATTAGTCATAATTCTTTTTACCTATTTGGATAATGCATTTCTCTAATGATGTGCAGGGCCTAGCCCAATCCAGAGCTGTGACATGGCAGAGACTGGGGAAGAGGAGACGGTGTCAGCGGAGGCCTCAGGGTTCTCAGATTTGAGTGACTCGGAGTTTCTGGATCTGGAAGATACCCAAGAGTCTAGTGCTTCATTTAGCAAACCTGGCCCTTCTTCTGAACTCCCTGGGAAGGATGGCAAGCTCGTAAACTTACCAAAGGGGAAAAGAGGATTGGATGTCCCATCACCCATGGAGCGATTCCACCTTAAATATTTGTATGTCACTGACCTGTCTACTCAGAACTGGTGTGAACAGCAAATGGTATATGGGAAGGAGCTTCCTGGTTTCTTGACACCTGAGAAGGCAGCTGTTTTGGACACTGGTGCCAGCATTCACCTAGCTAGAGAACTAGAAGTTCATGACCTTGTGACTCTCTCCATCACCAGTAAAGAAGATGCGTGGGCAGTTAAGTTTATGAATATGCTGTCAATGATTCCTACCCTGCAGGCAGAAGGGCGCATCAGAGAGTTTCCAGTGTTTGCAGAAGTGGAGGGTGTGCTTCTTGTTGGAGTGATTGATGAGCTGCACTATACACCCAAGGGGGAACTGGAACTGGTTGAACTCAAGACACGCAGACGCCCTATGCTCCCTCTGGAAGCTCAGAAAAAAAAAGACTGTTTTCAAGTCAGCCTATACAAATATATCTTTGATGCCATGGTACAAGGGAAAGTGACCACTGCTAGCCTTATCCACCACACAAAATTGTGTCCGGAAAAACCACTGGGACCTTCAGTGCTAAGGCATGCCCAGCAGGGAGGCTTCTCTGTGACATCCTTGGGTGACCTCATGGAGCTGGTCATCTTGTCTCTAACACTGTCTGACCTTCCAGTCATTGATATTCTGAAAATTGAATATATCCACCAACAGACTGCCACTGTGCTGGGTTCAGAGATTGTGGCCTTTGAAGAGAAGGAGCTGAGAAGCAAAGTGCAGCACTATATGGCCTACTGGGTGGGCCACCGAGAGCCTCAGGGGGTTGATGTCGAGGAAGCTTGGAAATGCCGGACATGCAACTATGCAGATATCTGTGAATGGAGGAAGGGTGGTGGGGTGCACAGCTCCATGCTAGAGACCCAAGCCAAAAGGGCCAAATGAACAGAAGGTATGCCTTAAGGAACTTTGATCCTTCCTGCCCCTGATGTACTCAACAGAGTAAAAGTGGACCAATCTGTGAGCTTGGCTTTCATGGAGAGCATTCGTATTTTGGTCCTTTTCCTATTTTCTCTGCCTCTGACCACTCAAATCTAGGACCAAGGCTCAGGTGAGTGGGAGAGAGCTGGCTGTGCTGTACCTGGAGCTTCGCCATAGATTGCCAAGACAGATGCTCATCATGGCTGGAGCAGTCACTGCTTTCCTAAGAAGATTCTTCAGTTTCTGTTAAGGCTCTTCCTATTTTTCTCAATCAAGGTTTTCTACATTTTATATAATAAAGTAAAACAAAACTGTCCAGGTTGGTTAACTGGTGGGCGTTGTTCATAATCTCAGTCCTTCAAGGATGACCACTGGAAATGGTTGTATGTATGCTAGTCGAAGCCTCTAAGTACATACATAAACATATCCCTGAAGCAGAACTAGTGGGATGAGCAGACCAAGAATTTTAAATAATCATAGTAAATATGCTTAAAGAAATAAGGGAAAATGAAGCAGGAACAGGAAGTTATAAACTGAAAATGTTAGATATGAAAAATATAACACATGAAGGAAGAGAAACGCTTATACTAAGAGAAACGCTTATACAATAGGAAATATGAACAAGAATATACTTTGTAGCACTTTCACAATAGTGAAACCTAAACCTAGAAACTACCCAGGGCCCATAATCAGAAGAGTGGATGGTGTACCACGGCTAAAACAGATGAGCTACAGTGACATGCAGTAATGTGGATGAATCTTAGCAGCACAATATTAAGTGAAACAGTAAGTTCCAACAGGTTATATATGGTATATACTCTTTTTATAAAGTGAAAAAACAAAAATAAAACATTTAAAGAAAGAGGTAAAGATAGGGGAGAGGGATTGCAGTGTATCTTAGAAGGCCGTGGAGCCCTGAGCTGTAAACATTACCAAAGAGGCTAGAGGAAAGAATGATAGGGACATCCTCTGGAAGATGAAGGCTTGTTTATAGAGACACTGCTGGGAAATTGAGAGAAGTAGATGGACAGAGAGAGGAGTTAACAGGGGTGGAGTTTTTTGTTTTTTTTTTCTTCATTAATTTTAGAGAGAGGAAGGGAGAGGGAGAGAGAAACATTGATGAGAACATCAATTGGCTGCCTCCTACATGCCCCCCACTGGGGATTTGGCCCACAACCTGGGCATGTGCCCTGACTGGGAATCAAACTGGCAACCTCTTGGTGCATGGGTCGATGCTTAACCACTGAGCCACATCAGATGGGCTGGAGTTTTGTTTGTTTTTTTTTTTTTTTAATTTTTTTCTTTATTGATTTTAGAGAGAGAGGAAGGGAGAGGGAGATAGAAACATTGATGAGAGACAAAATCGCTTGGCCGCCTGGAGTTGTTTTAATATATTTATTTTATCTTTATTGATTTTAGAGAGAGAGAGAGAGGAAGGAGAGAGGAACATCGATTCGTTTCTCTTATTTATGCATTCATTGGTTGTTTCTTGTATGTGCCCTGACTAGAGATTGAACTCGCAACCTTTGTGTATCAAGGTGATGCTGTAACCAAATGAGCTACCCGGCCAGGGCTAGGGGTGGAGTACCTATATTAACTGGAAGTCCAAGAGCCAACAGAACATGATATTGTTACTGTCACTCCATGTTATACATGAACTGGTAAAACCTGGACATTTATAGGAGATATGATAGGCAACCTCTGGAGGCCTTCTGAGCTACACATATTCTTTTCTTATGGACAATGGGAATCTTGTGATTAAATCTTTGTATTATTATCCCTGATGAGGGAACTAAGGCTTAGAAGGCTTATAAAACTTGCCTAAGGCCCTGGCTGGTTTGGCTCAGCGGTTAGAGCGTCGGCCTGCGGTCCTGAGAGACCTGGGTTCGGTTCCCGCTAAGGGCGCATACCTCAGTTGCAGTTTGTCCCCAGCCCTGGTCGGTTGTGCGGGTGGCAGCCACTCGATGTGTTCCTTTCACATTGATGTTTCTCTCTCTCTCTCTGTTCCTCTCTCTCCCTCCCACTCTACCTGAACAAAAAATGGAAAAAATGTCCTCGGGTGAGGATAAAAAAAAAAATAATAATAAAATAAAATAAAGAAACTTGCCTAAGGTCCCACAGTTTGAAAGTGATAGACTATAGCCTAGATATGTTTGACTGTAGTGCTTTTGCTCTTAACCATTATGCTGTAAACTTTTTCTTTTTAGTTCTCACCTGAGGATATGTTTTTTAACTTATTTTTAGAGAGGGAGGGAGGGGGGAGAGAGAGAGAGAGAGAGAAAGAGAGAGAGAGGTGAGAGTGAAACATCAATTGCTTGCCTCCCTATGCACCCTGACTGGGGATTGAACCTGCAACCTAGTTAGGTGCCCTGACTGGGAATTGAACCTGCAACCTTTTGGTGAATGGGATGATAGTCCAACTAATTGAGCCACCTGGGAAGGGCTGCTGTAAATTTTTCTTGCTGTTGTTAAGCTTCATGCACTGTATGTTATTCTAGGCCCTAGGAAGTTTGAAATTAAATTGGGAACATAGTAATCTGGACCTTATGGAATAAACAGTATTAAGCTAATAGTCTTCAAGAGAAGAACTTCCTCAGGGTTCTCTATCTTATTTATACTAGAAGCTTTAAGAAGAGGAAAATGAAAAAATCACTTGGTTTCAGAGAGTGACCTTGTCAGAATTCAACAATTCTGCAAATCAGTAATTCCCTGAGCTCTCAAATCCTTTCTTTAACATCTCTGGTTATCACTTTATGGTTTCTCACAAAATAGTTGAGGCATCTAGTTGGGGTCACCTCAGGATCACTGATGATGTTTTCTATAAATACTTCCCTAGTGTGCAGCCTTCACATGTCTAATAATTTCATCTCTCCCTTGTGAATTCTGCTGAACGTGTCTGAGCCCCAAATTATGGACCTCTTAGATATTTGTTCAGTGAGTGGGTAGATGAAAAGAGAGGTCACAACAAAGCTATTTCTTGAGTTTTTAAAACGTGCTTCTTGGTCCAAAGAATGGGTTGAGTGCCTTAGGTAGGATTAGGTTCAACTGGTCATAATAGAAATTGCCAAGACAACAGTGGTTAAACAAAATAGAATGTGTTTCTCTCTAATGAAAAAGATAGTCTAGTTCTGATGTGGCACTCCATGGTGTTAGGAGCCCAGGTTCCTTCTCTCTTATTTCTCTACCATCAACAGGTGTCTTTCTGCTTCATAATCCAAAATGGCTGCCCAAGCTCCAGTCACCCATTACACATTCAGCACAGAGCTGAAATAGGAAAAGGGCATCATTTTAAGGACACTTCCTAAATGTGCACCAAAGTTTCCACTTCCATCCCACTGGCCCAAACTTGGTTAAATGGTCATAGCTAGCTGCAAAGGAGGTTGGCATATGTAATTTTTATTCTGGGAAAGCATATACCCAGACAAAAACTGGAAATTCTGCCCTGGCCAGTTTTGCTCAGTGGTTAGAGCATCGGCCCACAGACCACAGAGGCCCAGGTTCGGTTCCTGCTAAGGGCAAATACCTTGGTTGCAGTTTGTCCCGGCCTTGGTTGGGGTCGTGTGGGTGGCAACTACTTGATGTGTCTCTCTCAAATTGATGTTTCTCTCTCTTCCTCTCTCCCTCTCGCTCTATCCGGAAAACAACAACAACAAAAACACTGGAAATTCTATGTACTGTAAAAAAGGGAGAATGGATATTGAGTGACAACCTGCAATCTCTGCCCCATTGAGACTTTCAGGAACAGAGCTGGCAATTTTTGCCTTGCTGAGGAACCTAAATCCTTGGGGGAAAGAGGAAGAGATGAACACAAGTAGTTCTTAATTGGTCCCCACAACCCCATCCCAGCACCAAACTGTGTTAGAACATTCCTAGGTTAAGGCTTATAATTTTAAAAATCTGATGTGATCTGCTAGATGGAATCTGGACAACTCTTTCCCCATCTTGCATATTCTGGGGCAAAAACGGTTGAAAGGGTCCAATTTCAGAATCTGACTTGCAAATCCACTGGATGCCTACAGGAGGCAGATCCTCAAGAACATGAAATTCTTGGAGGCTTACCTATGATTTTGGACATCCTGTGGTACAAAGTAGAGAGTAGGTTTGAGAGGACCCAGCCAAGAGATTCCGTTCTAGCCCTCATGCTTTATATAGTCTAGCAGAGAATACAGACAAGTAGACAAGCGATGATAGAGCCATGTGACAAGAGCTAGTATAAGGTGGTAGGGTGGTACAAGGTAGTGGATTCACAAAAGGAAGTTCACACTGGACTGGCAAGGTCAGGGAAGCTTTGTGGTAGATTGCTGAGACCTGAACAGAGTGAATTTGCTGGGTTGAGAGTTTGAGCAATAGCTGTTCAGATAGATGTGCAACAGTCTGACAGATTTAGAACGTAGTGGCTTCAGGGATCAAAGAAGTTTATTAAATTTAGACAATAGGATGAAGGGAAGTGGGAGAAGATGAAGCTAGAGAGGTAAGCAGGGTACAGATTTTGTAAGACCTTAAAAATCTTGTTTAAAATTTTAGGGTGAGCCCTGACCGGTTTGGCTCAGCGGTTAGAGCGTTGGCCTGCGGTCCTGAGAGACCCGGGTTCGGTTCCCGCTAAGGACGCAAACCTCGGTTGCAGTTTGTCCCCGGCCCTGGTCGGTTGTGTGGGTGGCAACCACTCGATGTGTTCCTTTCACATTGATGTTTCTCTCTCTCTCTCTGTTCCTCTCTCTCCCTCCCACTCTACCTGAACAAAAAATGAAAAAATGTCCTCGGGTGAGGATAAAAAAAAAAAATTTAGGGTGAGAGTGGATGAATTCTTTTCTGTTTGCCCCTAATTTCTCTGTCCCTCTTTTTTTTTTCAATTTTCAATATCTTAAAAAAAAAGTATTGTGGTAAAATACATAACATAATATTTACCATTTTAACCACTTTATTATTGTTATTTTTTTTGATATTTTGTTCAGATAGAGTGGGGGAGAGAGAGAGAGAGAGAGACATCGACGTGAAAGGGACACATCGAGTGGTTGCCACCCTCACAACCCAACCAGGGCCGGGGACAAACTGTAACCGAGGTACATGCCCTTAGTGGGAACCGAACCCAGTCTCTCTGGACCGCAGGCCGACGCTCTAACCGCTGAGCCAGACTGGCCAGGGCCACTTTATTATTTTTTAATCCTCACCTGAGGATATTTTTCCATTGATTCTTTCAGATAGAGTGGGAGGTAAGGAGGGAGCAAACGAGTGAGCAAGCATCTGAATAAATGCATCTGTAGGT